ACAATATCACAATTCAATAGGACTACTTAATTTTTACCATAGCCTCTTGCCCTCAAATGACACAGCAGCATAGAGATTGTGTTAATGTCACAGAAAGACAAATGGGTAATAATTTGTTCTTCACTACCAGAGAAGTTTTCCTCATTCCAAATCTGGAAGCTGCAAGGGTACCCTTATGAAAAAAGACTGCAACAGTGATAATCTTCAGGTACATAGCAGGTTTAAAAAAAAGAAGAAAAGTACAATTGAAAAGAATTCCCTGCACAACTCCATCAGCCTGCCTTTAGAAATAACGAGTCATAATAGAGATCTATCATGGAACATTTTTTCCCAAAGGCAAGATTCCCCATTTCACAAATCAACCTATCAGGATAGTTTCATGCCTGGTAGCCTGTTGGTATGACACAAACAGTTTCAGGATAAAAAAAATAAATAAATTAAAGCAGCTTTTCAGCAGACCTTAGAAATAATAAATCCATATAATTTTTTTTCTATCTATCTTAAAGGGATGCCATAAACCTTCATATTCATAGCTCTTCCCTAATGTATACCTCAATGTTTAAAGACTTCTGAAGACATGTAACATAACAAAACAAAAATGGATTTTCTATCTTGCTTAAAATGAGATGTGTAGCAAGTCAGTAACAGCAGTGCTTCAGTGAAGAAAATGCAAATCTTTCAAGAAGAGCAAAACACCTCCAGGGAAGCTCAAGTCAAGACTAGGGAAAGCTAATTTTAACTCAAAAACAGTTACCAAACAAGCACACTTACTAAATAGTATGTTTTACTTTAGTATTATTCTTGTAATCATTTGAAAAACAAAATAATAGTAGTAATGCATATACATGTATGTATGCAGGCATAGGATAAATATAGTGAACATACTAGCAAAGATATAGTCAGAAGATAGACTAAATTACCTGTTCTGAACTGGTGAGGCAGCACAGCAATGATAAAAGTGTGGTATAACAACAAAGCAACCTATTAGGCTTGGGAAGTGTCAGTGTAGACTCCATGCATGCATCAGTGTTAACTTTGCAGTGGCAGCAGCAGTCAGATGAGACGGACAGCAGCACAGCAAGCAAGAGGAGAAAAAATTGACAGGGAAGTTTTCTTCAAAAAGGCTGGGAAGCCCTGGACTAAACAAAAGTCTTCTTGAAGTCCTCTTCAGCACTGTCTTTAATGACAGGTTTTGTATGCAGCTGTGATTTGAGATGGCTTGGCTTGGAAAAGCAAACCTATTCATTCCCTGTGAATAAAGCTCTCTTTAATATATGTTCCTTTGGGATTAGAGCAATTTTTTTTTGTCTATAATATGTATGTAATAGCTCCAATCTTTTCTGCAGACTCTAATCTGAGAGAGAAAAATTGCTTCTTTTGTCTATGGCTCAGCCTCAAATTGTACTCGAATATGATAGTACCTTAGATAATTTGGGTAGCAGGAGCAGTCTAGCTACACCAGTACAAAACAAAAGACAAGCTTGCCCTGTTTTTTTGTAGTTTGCCTATGTTCAAAGTTCGCTCTAATTTTTAATTGTCTTTTTTTTTCCAGCCACAACCTGTAGGATATTCCTCAAATTGTGTTTAGAAAGTAGAACGTTCACTCAAAGTCCATTCTTAAAACGATCACTGTGTTCTTCAGGGAAACAACACAATAAATGAAAAAATATCCTTGGCCCTCATGTCCAGCATGGTTATTTTAATTACTTAACAGGAAACAGTTCTAGGTGTTGACATGTTGATACAGTACAATATATTTAATAAGTGGAAGAAGAAATTGAAGATGATATTAATAATTGATACGTTTCAAGTCTTCTAAACTAAGAACTGTTCCCCATAATTCATTTTCTAATTTGTACTGGTTTTTAAAAACAAAACAGAACATGACTGATTAAGACCCTTAAATCACCCTTAAATGATTAAATACAGCAAGGAAAAATCAATTAAAAATAATTATACTTGGTATTGTCAGGAGGAAAAAAAGGTTTATAGGGAAATTAGAGCATGTTTATACACTCTGACAGCAACATTATCTTCTGAAACTCCAATGTCCACCAAGATTCCAAGCATGCCTTGGAAGGATTAAGTACACAAGTCTTGATACACAAGTTTTATCTATAAATGTGTCCCCAAAAGCAAACAGAACAGTTTGAAGGTAATTGTGTCTTGAGGAAAATGACTTAAAACATTACCCAGGGTCTGAAGTAAAAACAAGCAATAACTTTCTGCCATTCCCCCTATCCCTAAAACGCTCATGGCAGTCTGAAAAATAAATAGCTATATGCTGTGCTAATTGCATCTTGAACAGTCTTGAGCTTCAGATAGTGAATGAAACTGATGCAAACATTTCATAATAAAAAAGGCAGCTATATGATTAAGATTCAAGGTTCCAGATCTAACAATTTAGCGATTAAAAATCACTGTCTTACAGTTGTTTGCTAGTAACTCTCCACATTGTTTTGGATTATTTCTTCACATCAAACATATTCATCATTTATAATCAGTATTAATTAACACCTTTTTTTGATAACATGATACTGCAGGTTGGGAGAAAAATGAGCAATCTAAAGACAATGTCAGGACAATAAGAAGACACTCTTGGCCCTCCTCTACAAGAAAAGCAATGACAGATTTTCAGTTTCAGTATTTTTCTAAAGCCTGTTTCAATCACGTCAATTCAAATCTACTAAAGACAAGCACAGCAAAAATAGGTAAGATAGCTTTAAAAGATTTATCAGTACACTGCGCAGTGTTTGCTAGTTAATAACTAAATATTCCTGAACTGTGCCAGAAGTCCAGGACAAATGTTTGTCTATACTTAATACTAAAGAACCACAAGTTCATAGAACAGCTTTGGTTGGAAGAGATCTGAAGGATCATCTGGTTCCAAACCCCATGCTATGGGCAGGGACACCTCCCACTAGATCAGGTTGCTCCAATCCAACCTGGCCTTGAGCACTTCCACAGATGGGGCATCCACAGCTTCTCTGGGTAGCCTGTGCCAGTGCCTCACCACACTCACAGTAAAGAATTTCTTCCTTATATCTGATCTAAACCTACCCTTTTTTAGTTAAGCTTTTTTCTTATAAAGCAGATTTAGCTGGTAGATAGCTCTTTCAATAAAGCACTCAGAGAAAGAAAGGTTTGTCCACACATACAGACTTAATTTTATTTTTTATCTTTCAGCAGACGGAGTGAGGCAAGTAATGGCTAAAGTAAGAACATATAAGAATAAAAATCAGAATGTGGACTAATATAAACTGTTGAAAAATTCAGTTTAGAGAAGAAACATTTTTTGATTTGTGTGGTTACTGTATATTTGACCTCAATTTTTGAGGTATTAATGACCATTTTATTTCACAAAAGCCTAACAGTTCGTCAGATTTATGCAAGCATTTTTGCAGTTCTGCATAGTATCAAATACTGTAAATATTCCAAAGAAACAAAGAATATGTTGGGAATAACTTATTAATTCATATAAACCTAGTTTTCTATAACATAGTTTTCTCCAGAGTGAGTGATACAGCAGAATCTTTCACTGCTCGGAAAAGAAATCAATGTGCTGTTTTCAACTTTAGAATGCCTTATTTTCAGTGGGAGAAATACCTTCAAAAACAGGCTTTCCCCCTCCACTCTCAGCAGACATAGGAAAGGTGAAACAGGAAGGAGAAAAAATGGAGAGGAAGAAAACTAAAAAGAAAATTGAAGAAAAAACAATAAAAACAACAAGAACGTTGAAGGCAGGACGCAATCTACCAGTCACAGTCACACAGAGTGGCTTTTTGTTTTTTTGTCTACAACTTCTATACTCATCATCTCCTCATACGATCTTCCTCTCATTGACTTTATTTTAAAACTACTTCTGCAAGTGTATAATCTGCCTGTGCACGTCAGAACACAGGAAAGATGTGGTTTAATATCTATGACTGTTCATAACATCTAGAGGCATCATCACATCATCACGGCTATTACTGATATTACTAGTACTACGGTGCCGCTGACTTCCAATAAGAATAAGAGAAAAATATTTTCAAAGACCACAGTGACAAGCTCCAAATATGCATACAACACATTAATTTTTCAGTTCTTTCATAGAAACCTCTCTGCTATGATGTAGTAATAACAATAACGTTGTCTTCAAATACGATGAAAACGCTTCATGTCCACGGTTTGCAGCCACAGCTAGCGGTTGCACACCATCAAAGAGATAGGTTATTCCTCTCAACTTGCACTAATACATTGCTGCTCAAAATACATCATGCTTTTGAGTTATAAGGGGCCACCAGAAACTGTTTTCCTTTTATAACATTATAAATGAAGCTGCATTTTAATGTACAGTATTCTCCCATCTGAAAGTTGCAAAGTAGCTCTGTTTTCTTTCTGAAATTGACCGATCAATGCCTTGATACATTTATTATTATTTTTAAGTTAACATTGCATTAATATGAAGTTACTCGTGAATAAAGTAATAGGAAAGACATACATTGAATATAATATATAAGCAAACATATAATCACTGCACAAAGATAGGAGCTTCAAGCCCTGGAAGTAAACCTAGCAGTGGTTAGGCTGCCACAAGGGAGAACAACTGGCACAGAGCAAAGTAGCTGAAGGTGAAAAGAAGAGACTGCCTTCAGAGAGGCAATCTACAGTTCCTCTGAGAAAGAAAAAGATGGATGACTGCTCGTATTATGTCTGCATGTTTAATCAAATGCAGTAAGTCTTTCAACTCAGCTGGAACTGATAATGGGGAACATAAATCAACTCTTAAGAGTTCAATAAAGGTTCCCCAAAAGAAAGAAAGGTTGCAACAGGTGAGAAAGGGCTGCAGAAGCTACTTGGAAATGGGATATTACAGGTATGAACAGGCATGTCTTCTTTAATTTTACTGAGAACTCAGCTACTGAGAATTTTAATATTATAACTTATGACTGTTTTGTGCCAAAGCTGTTTTGGTTTTAAATCAAAATAGGCAATGAACTGTTTGCTGAAGGTCTTACCTCCTCTGTGGACTACGGTTCTGAGAGAACTCTGAATCGCTGTCTTTTGATGTTGGAGAGCCCTTATACGTATAAAAAACATCCTCTGTCTCAGTAATATAGGTAATCTCATTTGTAAGGTTATCTACAGACGAGTGTCGTGGTTTACGAATTTCATGACGTAGTCTAGGACTCCGCCTAAAAAAAAGGAACATTAACACAGGTATGTAGGTTGTAATCGAATAGCATGTACAATTCTTTCAAGATGATTTCAATCCTACTGCAATCTATGTCCTAAAGTCTTTATGCTAGGTGCGCAGGTCTCATCTTAAATAGTGGATATATCAGTTAAAAAAATTGTTATGGTATGCTAGGTGATCATGTGCTGCCAGGTTCAGTAGACATGTTACCCCCAAACACTGCCTGTACTTGTTGAAGTTATAGTCACAGAATCATAGAATGGCTTGGGTTGGAAGACACCTGAAAGATCACCTAGTTCCAACCCCCCTGCCATGGGAAGGGACACATTCCACTAAACCAGGTTGCCCAAAGACTCATCCAAACTGGCCTTGAACACTCCTACGGGTGAGACATCAACAACTTCCCTGTGCAACCTGTTCCAGTGCCTCACCACCCTCATAATAAAGAATTGTTTCCTAATACCTAATCTCAGCCTCACAGAGGAAGTGCTCTGGCCCCATAACTGTTTTGGTAGCTGTTGGCTTTTGCTGAGCTCAGTCCTGTTTGAATTGGTGGGCCCAAAACTGGTTGCAGAATTTTAGATGAAGGTCTAATGAATGCTGAACAAAATGGGGATAACTCACTTCCTTGATCTACCATCTGTGCTTCTGTTAATATATCCAGGTTGTTACTCCACTTATTACTAGTCTTCAGGTAGGGCAGAAATTATTGCAGTCATCCAACCCTCCAGCCCCACCCCACCCATATTTTTTCTTAATCTGTTTGTCCACCTATCCAGAACAAAGTATCATAACTTGGATAGAACATTTTTACAGACACCATCAAAAATTTTGCTAATGTGGAGGTAAATGATACCCACTCTTCTGCTGTCATCATATCTATTCTCAAAATACCAGCATATTTAAATGTGTACGTAGGCACTACATAACTAGTCTGCTAGAATACATACAATTAGAAAAGGTAGGAGGCTGGAAGGGAGGGTAAAGGCTGAAATGTGATTTACCAATTAGGGGTAATAGGAGGGGATCGAGAAGGAAGGCTTTTGGTCTCTAAATGCTCAACAGATAAAGATCTCCTCATAGATGGGTTCCAAACCATCCCACCTATGACTTTTCTGCAGTACTGGCTGTTTACAGACCTGAAAATAAAACAAAAATAAAAACGTGTTAATTATTTTGCATAGGAAAATTCAATGAAATAAAATATGTTTTGAAAGTCAATTTCATAATTCATGTTCTAAAGAGTCCCCTGTTCTTATCCCTCAGTCACAGAGCCATTAGCTGCCCCTTACTCGTGGCAATAAAACTGTTCATCCCTGCTACAATGCTAATTAAAATCCTGGGTAAAAATAACCGTCTCTGAGAGTTATTTTTAACCTAATTGTGTTCAAGAAGATGGAGGGGAAAACAGGAAATGTGTTATGTTATATTGGCACCAAACCAATAGTGTCTGACAAAACTATTCAAGTATAGGCAAAAGATTATAGACATTTCACTAGTGGCTTAACTGAGTGCAGAACCACTTTAACAATATATATATACTATTTCCAGAATGATGCCACGTTGGTTGACATGTCCATTAAAGGAATACACCATTAGAGAAAGCTTTGAGAAAGTCACCTCCTCAATACCATCAGCGTCAGAAGAACAAGTTCATAACAACCCATAAAGGAGATAATCCTCAAAATACAGATGTTTAAACACTTAGTATGATCTACTACAAGGTAAAAATATGGAAATTCCACTCCAGTGGAAAACAGAATTTTATGAACATTCTTGTGGCTGGACAACCCTTGTGGCTTTACTGCCCTAATATACAGGCAATGCTAGTCCCCTCCCTTGCTACAAATTTATGCAGTATTAAAAGAGACATGAGAATATGAAAATCCAGCCACAAAGTCTGGGAAGCTACTTGAAGCATGATGACATCAGTTAGAATCTGAATCTATGCCCAAGTATGAAAAAGATAATCAGACAAATTAAATAAAAGGAACAACAGTGAAGTGAACACACTGCAAAAATAACAGAGAGAAAATTAAAACACTTCTCCAAAAAACATCAAAACAAGCAGCTTTTCAGAAAGTCTACACAGAGTACAGATAACCAAAGAACTAAAGAACTGTCCAAAACCATTATCCTCAGAGAGGATAATGATGTAAGACTTCCAGCCCAGATGGTGCATATGGGAAGAGTCAATCCTAACTTCATGCAATATGACAGGCTCTGAAGTACGACTTTTCAGGAACTAGATCTGTGATACCATTATGAAGCTACCAGCTCAATGACTAGCAGAAGTCAACAAAGCAAATAAACAATAAGAAGTGTCATGACAGTGGTATCTTCAATGTTTGGATGGGAAAAATATATTCATCTCCATGTCACTAACTGGCATCCTGGTACTCAATTAGGGCAGTTTCTGAAGAGCATGGTACTAACATATTAAACTGTGTATATAACAATAAGGAGTAAACAGTTCAAAACAAATCTGTTCTGCAAACTGTCTTATTGGATCATTAGCCACATAACATATTTACTTTCAAGTGTTTTTATGCCTTAAACTGAAAAGGCAAGTTGAAAAAATACCAGTAAAACATACTTATATTCAATAACTTCTTATGAATATTCCACTGTAATGAAAACATGTTGGGGAAAGAAAGGGAAAAAAAGATACATAATTTATCCAACAGTTTACAAAGACCAATGCAGCGGTAAGCAGATCTGAGCTCTGCAACTCCAACTTCAGCTATCTCTGACACAAGTCCTCCCTTTCCCATTTACAATGTAAAACATGCTTTCACACAATACTTACTTTGCTGGATTTCTAGAACCCAGAGTCCAATAATGTGACAGTATCTTTTTTTCATGAGGTAGCGACTTCTTTGCCTGAAAAAATGTGTGATGCTCTACGCAAGACTTCCACAGATTTTTGCATGCTCTGTAATTTAACATGTTGAAGGCAACAATATGCTCTCTGGACTCATTCTGTAATGTAAGAAAATTTATGTTTCAATACACAGAAGCAGATCAAACAGAGCAAACAAGGTCATAAACCTATCATATAAATAACAATGAAATTACTTTTAGCCTAAATAAGCGAACTACATTTAGGAAAACAAAAATTCATCATACAGTAGGCTTTGAGCTGGAGATGGATGAAACAGCCCTGTGAGTATACAAAATTCAAAATTCCACAGTGAATGTTTTAAAAGTGTAAGCAACATTAAAAATATTAACAATCAGTTCCTGATCATTACAATGTTAATTTAATGAAATATTTAAGTCTAGAGTGCCAGAGGTTTTGCATATGTAAGTGTAATACTAAACAGCTAAACAGATTTTCAGATTTCCAGTCAGATCTTGACCTCCTATGACAAACAAATCTCTTAACCATTTTATTAAGGGTGCAATGTAGAAAGGAAAAAAAATCTATCTTTGAATTCAAACTCTTCACATAGGACTTCATATAAATGTTGTTTCAAGAGCTAGAATGCAAAAAGCATCTGCCTTATATTCTTTTAGAAGATACTAAAGATGTTAACTTCTGGGGAAAGGAAAGCAATTGAAGGACTAGAGCTGCTGCTACTGCTTTTCAAATCCAATCCTGTTGTCTGGATGATAACACAAGGTCAAAATAAGGAGATCAAAAGGAAGCAGAATGGAAAGCTCGTGTCTCCCCCATACAAACTTGCAAGTTCAGTGCTCAGTGGTACACAGGTGTAACATAATTGTACCACCCACATTTATGCGCTGGACAATTACAGCACTTGTTGAACTATTGCAGGTCTCAGTGCTCCAGAGAGTTTTGCACAAGCTACAGCTTTGGCTAGCTAATGCAGTTATTAACACAAACAAAGCAGAACAAAGTGTAAAGCACAGAGGAGAAAGGTATGTGTAATAAGCAAGGAAAGGGGATACCTGAGTTCACTGCTATCCGATCTCAGCACTTCAGTGAAAAAAATACAGCAAGCTTGCAACTTCGTTTATCCTTTGCAGCTATTTTTTGGAATTATGACTTAATTTTGATATCACAACATATAATTAGGCAGGTGGCCATGTTGGTAAAGTTCTCTTTCTAGTTCATACTTTGGAGAACGTCAGGATTTGGGTTGTAAAGCCTCTTTATTAAATGACTTGGAAACCTAATAAAACTCTTTTCCACAGACTTCAGCAATAAATCAGTGTCCCACCTGGACAACATCCTAATTTCTAGTTGCATGGTCCTTTTGTTTGTTCACAACCAAACAATAAAATGAAACTACAGACCATTTTGGCTGGGATAATTGAACGGTTTTCCTTGTATTCTTTTTCTTTCTCTGTAACATTTGTTAAATATCAGGTATCAGAGATCAACACCACATTGTGCAAAACACTTGAGCTACTGCAATGACTTCACTTACAGATTCTCTATTTTGTAAACAAAGCAAAACTCAGCAAACAATGAGAATCACAAGAGAAAGCTAAAAAGGGTTTGCCCCTTAATACCACTTAGGCATTACGAAGTGTTTAACTGATTGTAATCTATCAGGCGTGTTCTTCCTATGTCTATTAAAACAAGAAACATTTTTATTTTATTTTTTAAGTAGGGTTCTCTCTTTGACCCTCAAGCATGCTGGAACCAATTCATCTTTGTCAGCTCACCACAGTTACTTCTAATTAGTTTATATAAGATAATGTGTGCAGGCACTGTGAAATTTTAACTCAGAATTTCTTGCAAGACAAAAAGCACACAGCACTTAAAGCTTTAATGACAAAAGGCATTTCTAACCTACTCTGTTGGCTAAATACCTCTTGAAGTGTTTTATATAACAAATTAAAGGAAATATTCGGGGTTGATTTTTTTGGTCTAGAGCACTGGTCTTTCAATAGGCATAAAAATTAGCTTATCTGAACATCTCAATTACACTGAAAAGCCATTGTATAAAGGTAAGGAATTAAGTATACCTAGTTCTCCATGTTTAAATTTAGGTTTGAAAAGAGTAGCAAATCTTGGTCACAAGTGCATTTATCCCAACTGTTGACACAGAATCTTCCCAAATATTTTTAACTGGGCTGCGAGTTTAAATATAGACACATACTGAGACAAATACTTTTAAGAAGTTTTAGAAAAATATATTGTTTTTAAATTAAAAAAAAAAAAACTTTTATTAACTATCTGGCTCACTAACAGGCCACCTCACAAGTCATGCCATTAAATCAATTCACTATTTTATAGGATGAATAAGGTTTTAATGGGTTCCACAGATTTAGTGCCTATCATCCTTCTCAACACAAGTTCCTAAAGAATGTTATTTTAGTCATTCTCAAGAAGTGAGGATTAGAAAAAATTGTGGCCATTAAGGTAAAGAGAACATGGCTAAAATGTGCGTCTTGCTATTTAAACATCAGGAAGAACTCTCATCTTATCTCTGAACTCAATGCCTATTACATTCACAGAGAATTTGGGAATGTCTACAACATAGGAAGTAAAAAATATATGCTAAAATGCAAAAAAGGAGCAGTTATTTTTAAGCATTACATAAGCACATCTGATATAAAGTTCCATTTTGGAAGCTTTAAAATGTTGTCTGTAAATCAGCACAGCTCCTATTCCTACCATAAATCTTACACCTTTAAGTCTCAGTATCACGAGCTTTTAAAACATCAGACATTCACTGATTCATCAGTCTTGCTTCCCGGTCCTTATGTAGCTCTTCAGTAGAAACAGAAATATTGCAGACTTCTATCAAGGAGCTGATCAATAGACTGAAGCAGTAGGATGGTAAAAGAGGAGGTGAGTAATGAAGAGTGAGAGAGAAGGTAAATTGATTCTTCAAAACAGTGGTGTAAGGAAATGAAAAAAAAAAAAAGGAGCAAGGAAAATGAGGAGAATAAATCAATGAAACACGGCGTATCCCAGATGACTGCAAACCCATAGCCTTTAAGAACTGTAGATTTTGGAAAGAAATCTACATACAACATGCAAAATTCTGAGATGTTATAGCACTGTTGCCTTCTTGAATTAAAACCTGACGACTAATATGCAGTATCTGCTCTTCTTTCCCCACGTTCTTCTGTCTCCCTTCCTTACAGCCTTATTTAACTATTTCCTTATGCACTTCCAAGAAAAAGAGGACACTGCCTCAGACATTTGTCTTCAGAAACCACTCAAGTGACCCAGCATTTAGGAGAAAAGCAGCAGTAGTCCAGCTGCCCCCTCGCTCCCGCTACATTGCAACAGGAGACTGTTCAAAGCAGAACCATTAAAGGACTGCAGGGATGTGGACTGCTGCCCTAAACTTCAAGCAAAGGGGGATAATTGACAAGGATGACTATATCTACAGACTTAATAGCACACCTGGTCTGCTTTTTCGTATTTACTGAGAAAGAGTGAAAGGTCATGTGGCTGACCTTACTTTTCCTACAGTGCTGTAGAATTTTAAGCAGGACACGGTGTGCATTACTGTAATCTCAATGAGTTATAAAGTAAAGAACTATGATTACCTAAGAGGAGATTAGTTAAAAAAAAAAAAAAATTAAGGTCCTTGACCTGTCATCATTTAACAAAAGTTCAAATGATCAAACTTCAAAAAATGCTGCTCTTTTCAAAGGTGACACTGGTCTCCAGAAAGAGAATTTCAGTTTGACAAAGTCTTTAAAATGTGTGTTCATTGCTAAAGTCCAGAGACTGTCACTAATTGGCACCTCATTCTTCCAGATTCTAAAATCCTGTAAGTACCCTCATTTTACTATCCATTGTTACTAATCACTCTCAGAACTCTCCTCCTGTTTATGTTCCCAGTGCATATAATGAAAAATACCTAGAATTTAACACTACTAATCAGTGAATTTTTAGATCTCAAATCTAGAGAGTGATACTTGTACATGTAATACAAATACACCATGTAATACAATTCAACTTACAAGCAGAGACTTACTACTCACTCATTTCTTTACATAGTAAAACATATTTGAACACACTGAAAAAAATTTGCATACAAATAGTGTTTTGAAACCTATGGTTTGAAAAATACTCGAGACACTTCACTGGTAGGTAACGATACCCAAAAGACAAAATAATTATCATTGGTGCACCCCATCTGCATCCACGCATTAGCGCAGCAGCAATACCTCTAGATTTCAACTTTCTTTACACAGGAGCCCTGACACAGGAATGTGTACATGTATGCACACTCCTTAAGTTTTCAAGATACCCAATCTAGGGGAAAAAAAAAAAAAATACTCCCCTTTTTGGGTAAAAACAACCACCGAAAATCAATCAATCAATCAAAAACAAAAAAGACTTCTCTAGCAATCTGTGTTCGCTGGGTTATGCACTATCCCTGTTCCCAATCTCGTATCTGTCAGCAGCAGAGCTCCCCTTTCCTCCAGGTACCTTCCTTTCCCCCAGAATTCTGAGTCTCAAAACCAGAAGGGACTTCACAAAGTTCTCCCAGACAGGATAAGCAGCTGTTCAGCAGATTCACTGCCGTAAGGTGCTCTACAGGGCACAGTGAGCCAGGAAAAGAGCAGCAGTTACTTGCAAGAAAAATGCTAGGTTACTAAATCTAGAGAGAGGATGAACATCTGTGTTTCTCCCAAGTCTGCAGGGGTAAATATACCTGCGTTAAAAGGACACGGTCCAACAGACTGAAGGTTGAAGTACTCCATGTTGGAAAGGAAACAAAAATGGGAAGCAGAATAAGCATAAAAAGGACCGTGATAGCAAGGGCAAGTTAACGAAACAGAATTTCAAAAGCAAGTTATCATAACGTAGCACCTACAGATCCAGCCCTCCATTGTTTGTATTTTAAGGCCAAAAATTTGAACACAACCATTTAATCAAAACAAAGTGAAATGACTACTTACATGTTTTTGCCGTTGTTGTATAAAAAACTTTTTCCTTTTAAAGGAAATTTTTAATATATTCACCCTGAAAGAGAGAGACAGACCATGAAATACTAAATAATGCCTAGAGGGGAAAAAAAGCAATTAAAAATAATACTGTGTGCAGTCTAAAAGATTACAGCTGTTAAATATTCAGTAAATAATATGCAACCATCTCCTGAGCACTGAGTGGTATATAGATTCAAGAAACTTCAAGAAAAAAAATAGCAAAGAAGGAAAGGTCTTTTTAAAATTAAGATTCTTCCTCATTTCCTCTTTAAATAGCTCTCATAGCAATTCTCTCCCACCAAATCTATTCTTGCAGCAAAAACTTGATGACATCCTTTACTAGCTGTACAAATGTTAAACGTGTCAAGTTTGTATAACTTAAGAATCATATGACAACTGTGACTAAACGAACAAAATTTAAGACCTTAATGACATGACAAGGTTGGTCATACAGTATCTGAAATTTCTCCGAGACTTCACAAAACTGACTTAGGATGTAAAAAGACAGTTCACTTTTATTAACAACTAAAACATTGTAATTAAAGTCAAACCTGAAGGATAAAAAATGCAAGTGTTAATGTATTTTTCACTTATTAATACTGCATAAAAATACTACATAAACTATGTAGCAGAATTGAACATGTCTTTTCTATGTATACACTGTATGATAAAGACTTTTTAAGGTTAGAATTACATTGCAATTGGTGCTTAAACACGTTCCATTTTAGTTATATCCTTAGCAGTTTTGCTAAATTAAGTAAACTTCGAGGTGCCCAGGAATGTTCCTACAAGAAAACAAGATTCATCTAAATTATCTACATAACCAAATGCATGCTCATTTCCAAAAATCTCTGTCAGTTATAGAGCCACAAAGAAACAGGAATTTCATCCACAGCATTCTTTGCAACCAAATTGTGCAAGTTAATGGAAGGTTTAAATCATATCTACTTCTCCTGCTGGAAATACTTGTGCCATCTGACTTGCTGCTTCCAGTGGTAATGATGTGTACTGTATATACAAAAGTTTTGTATTCCCATGTCGCCAGTAAGCCATATCAATTTTCAGTTTATTTACTGAAGTGGAACTAATTTAAATCCATCCATCTTAATCCTTGTGCCACTCTAGCTGAACTAGTACTGCCCAAGTTTTGGGTTACTGGTTCTTTCCCTCCACGCTTCTTGGCTTAGCTCACACTTCAAAAAGTGAGTGAGTGTTTGGAGTTGCTCTCAGCTTACACAGCCGCTGTCACTCCCTGTTCTTAGCTAATGTAGTACCAGCAGAAACAGAAAATACAAACAACTAATCTTGCAAACTAAGCAAAAAAACCCTCCAACCAACAAAAAGGTAGACAACATCTAAAAATAACAGAACTCTCTCATCTCTCCCCACTTTTTAAAAACAATTAACTGCATGGCCACATAATCACTTCATGTCAAATCAGGGCTTTAAGTCTTTTTATTTTGACTCTCCTCTACGCACAGAATGCCTCTCAACTCTATTCAACCTTCTTAAAGCACAACTAAACCTCTTTAATTCGGTGACAAAGAACAGTTACTAATCTGACAGTTTTATTTAACACTAACTCAAAATCGTTTGCAGCACCCTGCCTATTAGTCAAGGGAATGTTCGCATATAGCACAAGCCACAAAAGAAAAAAAAAAAGGAAGAGATTAAGGTATTGAAGGATTTAGATTTAACGAGTACTTGAAGGTGCCACATCCAGAACATGAGCTGAACGGAATGCAGTTATTCCTATTCCAACTAGTGGCTCAGCTGCCTCATCACTCACCAATAGTCTGTCCAAGCGACTATGCAGCTAACTGAATTTTGCCATTAAGTTTTAAAGTATACAATAGCTGAAACTTAGGGATAACGATAAATCTTTTGGCTCCTGTATTCCTCCACCATTCACAAGGGTCAAAGCAGATTTATCACTTAGTGGGCAGAGTTATTCATTTCTGATCATCTTGGCAGTTCTGTCCTGGCACTCACTGTTAACAGCTGGTAGTTTCTGACCTGAAGCAAAAATATTTCCTAACTGTATGTCTCATACGTTGCTCAAGGAAGATTCAGAAGTTTTTGTCATATTCTATGTAACACTTGGTTGAGCGGGGTTTTGATTTTAACTAGTAAGGTAGCATATATTCCTGTAGCAGTTTCTCTGAAGTTTTCAAAGCAAAGAAACTGCATACACTGAATAGCATTTAATGTACAATCTTAATTGCTGCTGATATAAAACAGAGAGCTCATATATTTTAAGATATTTTACTTGCAAAAAGACCTGGAAACTATCACATAACAGTCAAGCACCCCAAGAATAATTTCCCAGAGCTCACTGTGTTAAATCCAAATTTACTTTATAAACCCATCCTGACTTGCATTGCCTCTGACTGATCAGTGAGCTTCTTACGTAAGTCTCTTTGATTGAAAACCTTCCTTTTGCCAAGACAGTACACTCTCACTGCCTCCATTCCTGAAAGCTTTTGGCTCCCTTTGACTACCACCATATGGCACAGTTGTATTGTTGTCATCCATTAATGCTGCAGAGTATTTTACTTACTGTGCTGGAAAGAGCGCTCTGATGGTGTCTGCTGCCACCTTGAGTTCCACCACATTTATGCTGAAGCTCTCCCAGTTCACAGGAAGAGCTACTTACTACAAATTGTGTTATATAAGATGACTAAATACAATTTCAATTATCTGAATGTTTTCTGTGTTCTAAGGCATAAAACGTTCCTTAAGGAGTCTCCTTAGCTGCACACCTTCAACACAGCCAACATGCATTAAAACTCCAGGTAGTACCAAGATGCATCCTGCTTTGATGTCTAAAAAGAAATTGAATGCATACACTACAAACAAGACCTGCAGAAGGCAGAAAATGTGCCTCCAGCTGAGCATTTTAAAAACCTGCAGCTGTTTAAAGAAGCTGAGAGATTGACATATGAAAGGGCAAAGCTCAGGGCATAAAGATGAGAGATAGAAGTCTTCTATGCTTTAGTGTGCATTAGAGATGGATAAATGCAAGATGCTACTGTGCTGTATGAAAACATTATTGACATGTATTGAGGATGGCTACAGTATACTCAAGTGAGTTGAAAGAAAACTCACAGCAAAGAAAAAAAATCCAGAGACTATGCAGTACATTTTTCCACTGAAATTCAAATTGAAACCTATCTTATTACTTTTTCCTAGAAATACCTGTTAATCCATAATGAACCATAATGAATGGATGGAATGACTCGTGCATTTAAGGAATATTGCTAACAGGCACCTTTTTGTACAATTGAGCAAAAAGCCAGTACAACCTACTGGAATGCACTTTCCTGTCACAATTAAGAATATTACATCATCTTACTGAATACATTCTCCAGAAAAACTGTTGCAACTTATGTGAGGAAATGTGTCCAGGTACAACAGTAGAAATCTTTAAAACCACAAGGTCCTCCTAATGATATAGTCACACCTCTAAGTGAATGGACTTGATCGAGACTTCACATAAAGCAAGTAATTCAAAAGCCTTTTGAATTGAAAAGTCTAGGCAACAGGTTTAATTTTTCTCTCAGCACAAGGAAGTACCATTATGCCCCATAAAGAACAAATCTGTGTACTGTAGGCTTCCTGGGAATAAGTGTTAAAGCAAATGGAAATTCTATTTAAAAGATTAAATGTAATTTTTTGTTAATAAAGGAATTTACCAGGGATAGAAGCTTGTGCAGATGAGTTTTCTATATACAGCAATTCCACTGGATGCAATCCCAATCATGAGATCTAGATTATGCAGATCCTGCAAGAGAAAAATAATGTAAGAACAGGGATGTAGTTTGTGTTATTCCCAGTTATTTACTTATAAATTCATTTTCAAGTTTTCTATACTTAGAGTATAACTCCTGAGGCAAGAATTCAATCAACTTATTTGGATTTTTATTCTCATGCATGTCTTTCCTTTGATCCTACCTGCTAGGTATTTCAATCATTAAAACAAGTGTTAATGTTCATCTTACTACATTAGATATTCTTTAGGTCAGCATCAGACTAAAGTTTCAAGCCCTTACATTAATTCAGTGATGGGAAATCAGTTGAAGTACTTTCCAAGATCAACCAGGTTAAGTGGCACAATTTTGGAAACCAGACACAAGTTATCTTATTCTAAGACAAAAGAAATAATTCCTCATCATTTTCAAAGAGATCTTGACAATAAAGACTGGGCAGGAGGTGACTACAATTCTGCATATGGGAGTATGCTAGAGGAACATGCATGTGTATATGAAAATTTGATAAACAAAACTGAATCCATTGTTAATTAAAACAAGAAACTGTGTATTAGCTTAACATGCTTAACTGGAAAAACTCATCCATAAGTTTACAACAGCATTATGTCTAGTGAGGTAGACGAGAGAATAAATAGTTATATATAAGTGAGCATTTGAGTATACAAAAAATGGGGAGTGGGAGCTGAAAGGTGCATTTTAATTTAAATTTAAATTGATGTTACAGAAGTTACATTTCATTATGATTGACATGTTCTAGTACATTATACACAAGTTTCTAATCAGAGCTGAATATAAGCATAAATCTACATGTAAACACGGAACCCATTGGTTAAAATACCAGGTTTGACTCAAAAGTAGCTTCAGAATATTTTATAAGAGATGGCCAAAGGTAACGGATTCTCTTAAAGCCTTCTGTAGCTTAGCTGCTCCTCTAGATGGTACTCTGTGCTCATTTAATACAGAGTCATCTTGTACATCCAACCCTTATTTCTTCCTAAGGCACAGAAGAATAAGACCTTTCTTCTGTAAGGTACAGAAGAACAGACCATGCACCATACAGTCTAAAAATAGCAGAAAGTCTATAGTAAATCCTTTAAAAATAGTTGAATAAAAGTATGATACAGGTGTATGACCGAATGAAGCTGAACTCAATTTGCAACACAGTTTAAAAACCTCCAGTGAAATACCACAGCAGTTCACAGAGAAAGAGCATAACCTATTTAATAAATAGTGCATTGGCACCAAATACTGAGAAGATGAGAGAGACATTGATTCTATTTCTGAGAGTTTAATATAGGAAAATTATTATGTAGGTTGCTGTCCAAATAAGCTTAATCTCTGGGTAGTGCAGAGTCAACTGAAACGATTACCAATCCCTAGATACCCACTGCCCCACTTTTCCAAAGAGTGCTGCTGCAGGAGGTAGTTGAATGTCCATCTGAAGAGGCTCCTGGATTGCCAGAGTTGTGTCAGCATATTACAGTAGTCCTAAACTGGCATCCATGTATTTTAATACAATTGGGAGAAAACGGAGGCGCTTTAGCAGATGAATCGGATGTAATTTAGCTGCCCCTGCCATGCTAATGCCAACCTAATGCGGAGCAGAAATCTGTTTTATTGGCATGTGAAGATTACTCCAAGTTCCAGCTTTCAAAAATCAATAGGCTGAAGGAAAACAGCTTTAGGAGAAAAACTAGAAAAACTATGTGATTCAGCAGAAATAGGATTAGCTAAACACTTAATGGGGATTATTTAGGCCAAAACTACTCTTTTTTTTCCAGAAGCTGTGCCAGAATAAATTGCCCTCCCACCTCTGTCCAAAATCTTCCATGCTATTTATTATAATTAATTATATTATTAAAATGAATTGTTGTGTTAAACAAGTAAGGTTTGTGAAACGAAGAAAAATAAGACCTTGAACTAGCAAAGAAATAGGGTCTTACAATAGAAAGAAGATGTAGATGTGCAGTCATTTCCCTTTCAAAACATTTGTGCCATTAAACCGCACAAATAAGAATTGCCTATCACACATATGCTTTTCTTTTTGCCTATTTCTTTATAGAGATAGTCATAAAAAAGTACTTATAATGCTAAAAAAACGATCGTGCCAGGGATCTTCTTAGTTAAACACTGAGTCATTTTTTAATTACGATTGTCATCTGGACTTTCATAGATGTGGAAATAGCATGGTTCTACAAGTTTCCCTTTGTTTTCTACAAGGTCCCTTCCTCTGAATAAAAATGAAAGATGGGTTAATATCAGACTAATTATTCATCAGATGACAGTGCAAAAAGGAGATTTTATTGAGGCTTCCTAAATTCTTAGTTTTGAGGTATTAAATTCACCCTCTTGAGTTTCTTAATAGTATTTCAATTTAGAATATAACACTTTTAAAAGCTCAGGCTGATCTTCAGAGTAAAGTAAAAGTGATTGCAGATAAAAACTGAACTCAGATTAATTCACTACTGCAAGTGTCATGTTTGGTCGCTAGAAAAATGCTCACACAACTTCTGCAAAGTGCTTGACCTGCACCAGCTTCTTTTGGCCATTAGTATAAAACCCAGTTGTTACCTGGCTTCTTTGCCATATAGAATATCTAAGAGGACCAAGACTTTATTTTAGCAGCAAGGGAAGAGCTGAATCATAAGGATTCACAGAGACAAAAGCCTTTCAAAAAGACAGTTTTATAACTAGCTTTTACTAGCAATTGTTCAAAGCACTAGAATTTGACAAAATAGGAAGAGTGATTTAAGAGCAGTACTAAGCATGGGAGGCTATGAAGAGGAATGCCAAAAATCTCTGCTAAAGCTGGCGTATAATGTAGTAGCCTCAGCCAAAGCACGGGGAGGCATGGACATCCAACCTTCACCGCAAACTTCAGAAACAGAGACCATTGCAGCAGACTGTTTCAAACATCAGAAAAATGTTTACAGCCAACGTGAGCTACCAGATGAGACCAAAGGATGAACATTCATCTGTAGGGCTGCTGCAGTACAGGCAAAGCACTTAGCAAATGAAAGAGTATGTACCAGAACAGAATGCCAGGAATGTCCACTCTGATAAAATGCATTACTATTACTTTTCTCATAGGCTTTATTAAAAAAAAATATATATGAATTGTAACAAAAATACTAATTTGGACTGAAATATTAGCAAGACAGTCTGCATCTTAGCAGCCTGGAATAGAGAAGGCTTTCACTCAAATTTGTACTGTTTGATTTAGATTATACTAAACACAGCTTGGTGTCATGCACAGTAGGGGCTCATGACCAGCAGCCTGACATCCTGAGCTCCAGGTCATTAAATATGAAACAATCTGCTGGAAAACAGAAATGTGCTGTTTAAGCAGGTATCTCCAGAAGACACTGCTACCCACAGAGAGCAGTCCAGCACACTTTGGTTGCTTACCAAAATACTGGGCTACAATAGAAATTAAAAGGAATAGACTGGTCAAGTTAAGGGCACACACAGAAATCTCAAGTGTGACAGTAAAGGGTTCTTCAGTATGGCAGAAACGTGACAGAGATGGCAATGCACAATGAATCTAGACAATGTCAGGTTTAAGAAGACACTTACTTAACATTTACGGGTAACTTTTTACATTGTCAGAAGACAAGAACATAAGAAATTTGTTTATGTATTCTAGATTACTTACCCACAACCATTGCATTTGTATCAAGATATCTTAACAATGGTCTCATAAGTGGCCTGTCCTGATGTTCTTATCAGTTGTTATGAGCACAGACAGTTCATATTTCTGATCACTTTGACCATTTCCTTTCCTTTGTACTCCTCCCCCCCAAAAAATGCTACTGTTTGTACTGCTATGAATATATCTACAAAAAGGTGTATAAAAAAAAATCCAAGTGAAATATTGCAATGTAAACATACTCTACCACTGTGCAATTCCACTCCATAGAAATCAAGTGTTCGCGCTATATTTATGTAGCAGGACTCTGCTTCAGATTGCTTGAGGCCACTAAAAGAGAAAAAAAGATGCAGACCAGAGTCAAAAATAAGAGACATGAAATTACTTTTATTCCAAATGCAGGAAAAAAAATAATAATCCTACAGCCCAGTGTCTGACATACAAACCTCATTAAATAGTGCCACAAAGCATTTAACTTGTGAAGGGCCTCCTAAACACCTCTCAAAATTGAGCAAACCAAAACCACTGTCATCACCTCAGCCATTCTGCATCAATATTTTTAGAAAAATCATTTTTACCTGTTTTGTTTAAAGGGGTAAAGAAACAATTCCCCTGCAAAGGCTTCTTCTACAATGAGAAGCTCTATCCCTATACATTCTATATTGCATAGCCTCTCAGAAGAAAGTTATCTAGAAGAAAGATTAGAAGCAGGAATCTACTCAAAAATACAGTGGGAGAGGGAGGGAGAATATTAAACAAGTTATAAAACTCACCAAGGAAGAACCATTTGAGTTTATTCATAATTAATAAACATAAAGTCCTAAAATCCATTTTCCCCTGCAGCTAGATGCGTGCAAGACTTAAAAGGAATCTATCTCACAGTTTTCTAGGAAACTTCTAAGATTCTGTGAGATGTTTGCTTTCAAAGAGAAGAACTCAAACATCCCCACATCTAATAAACTGATTTTATAACTTTATGGAAGGGCTACATGGAATTGACTAGGAGCTTTAAAAACCAAAGAATCCAAAAGTAATCTCTACCTAGATAAGTTATCTCATGCAGCCTACTAATTATTCACCTGAGAGGATCGAAGTGCAGCTACACCAGATCCCCTACTTATGATAAAAAGGTAATTGCTTCCAACAAATTGTAGGGCGAAGAAGTTTTTCTCTGTTGTGAACCGATCCAACAACATCCCACTAATCCAGAACCTGCTGTAGCCTACTGCCATTGTGCTGAGCCAGCAGTGATCCTGGCCTTGCAGTGCAGACCAATGCTTCAGGCACTACAGCATGTTGGAGAACTGTCAGACCAGAGACCAACTGATTATTACCTACACACATTGAGGCAGGATGGTATCTGATGTCTTTTCTATCATAGCTACAACTAAGTGCAGGTAAAAGAATTCTTCCGAAACTAAGGACAAAAATATGTTAATCAAATGTAATTTAAACCAACAACTTGTAAGAAAAACATGTAACATTATATGAAGTTAGAACTCCAGATAGAAAGGCATTCTCAATAAAGCAGTAATTCCTTTTTTTTTTTTTTAAAAAAAAATAAATGAAGTTTTACCTCAAAAGATGGACATCTATTACTTCAAGTTACTTATCCATCCTCTTAAATCCCAGACCATCATACTAATCTTCCCTGAAACCACCACTCTAAGAAATATTACATTATGCTCCATAAAACTGATTAGAAAGACTGGAAGTGATCCTGAGCCAGAAAGCCTTTGACAGAAGCGTGGTTTGAATATGTCACAACATTAGAATAAAGACTACAAGTAATATAAGCTGCTTGCAGACAAACTACTTACTGAGACTCACATCTACACTGACTACTGCATCTTGATTTAAAAAAATAAAAAAAATAGCAGAAGACACAAGGTCAATTTATATCAAAAAGGCTGAGGGGGAAAAACCAACACAATGGCTACTGTTGTATTCAGAACACCTGCTGTTTGCAGCAGTACATCATTGTCATCTTTAAAATTTGGATCAAGAACTTTTCAGAAAGGTGGGGAAAGTCTGATGCATACCAACAAGACATGCTTGCAAGTTTTAATTCTCAGCTTGCATGCATCATGTACATCAGATCAATCAAGTCTTGTGTCTTGAAAGACCACTAAAAAATGCCTCAGCACTAAGACTTTTTTTCTGTTTCACCTCCTACTCTAATAAAGAGAAAGCTAAACCACAGGTTCTTAAGCAGGTAGTAGTTACTCAGTGAAATAAACAGGAAAGAGAAAACTGATTTTGGTACCTCCTTACAGTTATTATAGCTGTTGACACTGAAAGACAAACAATCACGTAGAATGTAAGCACAGTATGAAGTTTCAAATGCCTCAATTTCTTCAAACTGACAGCTAAATCTAGCAAGCACTAGGATAGCAGTATCAGTTTCGGTAATAGCCACACCTTATGAAATCTGGGTGCTTAAGTTAAAAAAATAAAAATAATAATAAAAACACATACAGAATGAAAAAATCACTCTACAGAGTTATGAACACAGAAGGAATATTTCTGAAGCTTTACCGATTTGATATGAAAACGGTTGCTTTCCCAACAGCTATTGCACACTGAAGTGTCTCACGTAAACCTGATCATAGAACTACCTACCTTCTCAAATCTGGCGAAATACAAAAATCAGTTTGAAAATAGAGCAAAGCTATAAAAGATATGAAGCAGTATGGCTTCTCAAATCTATATTGCATTTCAGCAATTATGACCTTTTAATTTGTCTCCACAAAAGTTTCCCAAAGGATGGATATGAAAGAATGAAGAACAGATGCTCATAGGGCTGGCTTTGCAACCCTGTAATCTAATTTATAAGAGATAATAATTTTCAGATATTACACATGGCCTATTTCAAATACTACCAACTCACTTCATATCAGTAGGAATTTCATTTCAAAACACTGCTTTCCTCAGTGAGATGAGGAGAAGCCAGAAGATGATTCAAATCATAAGATGAGAAATTTTCCCTTTCATATTTCCTTCTTGGAAGGCCCAGTGAACACCATAATCATTCTTGTCAAATATGTTACCAGCACTGGCTTCATCAAAAAAAAAAAAAAAGTCTCTAATATCAGTATTCACAATACATGCCAAAGGAAGATGTAATAAATACTGCTAGAATACACAAAACTTGTCTGCCTCTCCCTGCACTAAGAAATAAATAGTCCTGAAAACCAAAGTTTTTTAAAAGGCTATAAGTGAATAAAGAAACATTTTTGCTAATGCAGCCTATTCGAGTATTATTATTTGTAACTTTAATTCTAAAACCTACGTGAATAGAGTGCTTAAAATAGAGCACTTAGACTTCATGATCATGATGGCTTCAATCTACCAAAAAACATTCACTGAAAACGTCAGCTTCGCTGAAAGGTCCTAGAAAGGAAAATACTTTCCAACAGACCTAACCACCCCTTCATGTAGACCAATGGTAATCTCTAGTCTGTTCTCTGCAGGACATAATTGGTCATCGGCTATGACAGCACTAAGGCCATGACTTCAACCTACCCACTCACAGACTCCTCAGAATCTTCCCTTGGTAATCTCCAAGTCAGCTTCTTCCTAATGACAACCGTATTTATTAATTCACATCTACATGTTCCTCACTAAGGACTTCTGAGCCTTTTGGAAACTGAATTAATTGGGAAGAAATAGAAGCCTCAGGTATTATGTTCCTGCAGATAAACGGCTCAGAAAGCAGTCCTGGTAAGTACCTATGCTAAAGGAACAGATGCTGCATGAATTCAATGGTTGTTGTCATTTTATCCCCATAAATGACAACAGCATGCATGCTCTGGACTGGGCTAGGCAGCACTCATGAAGTTCAGAACTACCCACTATACCTCACTAACTCTACCAGTGGTAAAGAAACAAAGAAGAGGTGAGAGTATTGAAATAAAGACAAAAAAAAAAAAAAAAAGGAATATTAGGGGTTGAGGAAAACGGAGATATTTCAGGGCAGAAAACAAGAAATCAGAGAAAATGGGAGGATGGCAAACTAGCTCTGCTGCAATAAAAAAAAATAAAGATAAGGACAGAGTATGAGTGTCTAGAGACTCAGATGTCATTTGTTCAAATATAAGCAGCAATTTCTTAGGTTAACATATTTGTATGCAGCATGCAAGTATCTGATCGACATCACTAATTCTAAATCTGCAGTCTTACAGGGAACAAATCAGCAGGGTTAGCAAGAGTAATTAGCAGTAGACTTCAACTGGAACAATCAATTGCAGCCTTTATATTACACTCAGGAGAGTGGAGTAAAAGCACTAAGAGTATTGGTCTTCCCCCTGCCACCATATCCCCTCCATACGTGGATAAAAAACCTGTATGATTTCAGAAATGGGCCTTTTCAAGGCAAAGGCCCTTGATCCAAAAAGCCTCAAACATCTAGTACAGTGTTCTAGATAGCTACTGTTAACAATGTATAATGTTAACTGATCTGCTTGTCATAACTAGAAATTTATTGATACGTTTTAACACATTGGCATCACACACTGAAAAACATGTATTTTGCATTTATGTGCTAAAAAACGAGTATTTTGTATAATAGAAGTTATACGAAATAAAACCACTAAAATCTTGAATCTTCCTTTTTGCATCCCCCCCTTCTTTTTTTCTTTAAGAACTCATGGGGCACGAGAGAATTACAAGTTAATGTTACCTGTGTTGCTCATGTAGAGATTCTACTTTGGTAAGAAAATCTTTGTTCTGCTCTGGTATAAAGTTGTAATTGGACAGATATCCTGAATGATGTACTGAAGCGTTATAGTCTCCAAGTTGTGCTGTTAGAAAACAAGAAACACACATAGAAAGTTTACATAGTTAATTACCATTTAGGAGAAATCCCTCCTCCTTGTTAAAATATGACAAAATATGCATGTATATGGGGAAAAGCAAGAATTACAAATTATCTCCCACAGGACAAGCGGTGTTGAATGCAGCAAATTTTATGACATCAATGGAAATTTTTGTTTGTTTGTTTTTTCCCAAAATATGCTTGCTCTAACCATAATCTCAGGCACTGAAAAACTCAGTACTTACTCATATAACCACAGTTTTGCATCACAACCTGTAAAAACACTACATGGGCAACATGTGCCATGTTGGCACAGACAACCAATACTGTAACATTAGAGGGAAACAAATTGCTTCAGTGAGACAAGTGAAATCACACTGAAATATCTTTGACTATTTGATTAGAAGTCTTCAACAAGACCTGTATCTTAAAAAGCTATTCTCTACACTGGGAAGTAAAACCTGTTGAAGCTAACTACTGTGGCTCTGCCCTAATAATGCAATTGTTAACCTTGACACAACTGAACACAAGTTATTTAATACAAAATGAGAAATAACTCCTGATTTAGATGTAACGTTACCAAGCTATTACCAAAAGTAAACACATCTACAGCCAAATAAACTAAAAAAACAACAATCCTTAAAGCTTTATCCCTTCAATAACGATACTAAATAGTGTAGATTTTTAAATAGTTACTAGATAAAACCTGGTTCTTATCCACAGCTGGTGAAACTGAAAACAAATGAAACTACAAAAGACCATAAATCTATAGCCTCAGTCTATGTAAGTTTTCTTTAAATATTAGGTCAGCATTAATTTATGTCCTGGAAGATATACACAAACATTCACAAACCTTTTACTTGTTATAAAGATGGAAGGTTTGGGGCAAGAGGGCAGTCGATTCAAATAAAGTTCCTAACTGGCACAGATACACCTAGTTTCAATTAAGCAAGTAAATTAAAACCTGGACTTCATTGGAACTGTACTACTTTCACAAAATGCTTAAGAGACCAAATCCCCAAATGATGGAATATTTAAGCAAATCACTAGAACTTGTGCTGTGTTCTGCTTTTTTTATTTTTTTTTATATTTTTTTTTTTTTACTAGAAGCATGAAGTTTTTATTACAAAGCAATAAGCTTCACAGAAGTTATTTGTATGATGTATAAAGTAGCACAAGAGAAAGTACTTGTGTAGACTGCAAATACTCCAGCATGTCAGGTTGCAACTAAATCAAAGAACAAACATTTAGGAACAATGCTATCACCACTATTTTCCCAGAAAAGACAAAGCATAGAAGACTGATTTAAATGATTCAGGCTAGGGAGAAAATAAAAATGTTGTGCACTTCAGAAATAACTTACAGGTACAATAACTATGGAGCATCTGCAATGCAGGGTATAACAAGTATTTGTCACTTGCTTATCCAAAAAGCATGACTTGTAGAGAGCTTAGGAAAGTGAACCACCATGATAAAAAACAGTTTCTAAGCAAATACAGTCAGAAACATGTGCAGCTGCACACCTAGTTGTCAGCATGGAGTACTTAATGTTTATCATTCCAATTTTTATTTAAGTTAGATATATTGAATACAGATGTTCCTGCAGTGCGTTGAGGTTTTTTAAAAGGTAGCCTGAATTTTAAATTATCAAAATGGTTGGCAAAAGAGTAAATATTTACTATTAGAACTAAAACACATATATTAATAGTGCTGTCAAATAATGCACCTCAGAAGAAGAAAACAAAATGAAACAAGAAAACAAGACAGAAGAGCCAGAAGTATAACAAGAAGCTGAAATAATTTTAGGAATACCTATATATTTACAGAAATCCAAGTTTCTATCAAGATCGAGGCTATGACTATGAAACAACAGAAAACTTCATACAAGGTGGGCGCATTAGTAGCAGCGGAAAAATGAAACACAATTCTGGATGTCAGTAGTCATCTGAAGACTTTTTACCTTTATTAGCCATTAACATAACTCATCTTTTCTATGAAACATAACATACATTTTTAATGTTGTTCTGGTGACAGAGCTTTGTTGCAGTCAGTTTGAATCACATCCTTGTCAATGGGAAGAGACCAGATTGCCAGGAATTAGACAATGCAGTTGTCCACTTCATTTATTTTTATTAGGTAAGAATATTTTTACTATAATTTTACCTTCTCTAAAGAGGGCAACTGTTGTTCCTTCACTGGTTATGATGTAGGGTCTTCTTGCTCATCTTCCCAATATGGTGGTGGCTCTGGTCTTTTTTCCTCTTCCTCCTAGCTATCTGAGGTCATGGCAACAAGGGGAGCAGCTCAGAGTACTACTTGCTTCTCCAGCTCCCCAGCCAACTGTCACAGTTGAAGAGAAACTATAAATGCTGATTAGTAGACATCTTGGAAGAGTAATGTTCTTGTGCAGGATTTTAGTTATCCAAATAGGAAAAAGAAGCATTAGGGCATATCAAGACCTCAGTAGGAATAAAAATCCATAAGGTTTCTAGCTCTTTAATGGATTTCTCCAGAAGATACGGGGTGGGATGCCGTTAGTAAAGACCTTTCCAATCAGTTTCTCCTGAAATAGCTTCTGCTCTGATCACACAGGCCAGCAGCAGCAGATTCAACTGACTCAGTGAGGATAAAAGTAACTTCTTTTTTTTCCTCCAAACATTTCCCCATTCTAATCATCTGTTGCGCTTTAATTCATCATAACCAGGTAAAATTAAAGAAAATTGAACAATTGAGCAATGGCGACTCAAAACTGAACAGGAAGGGCCTGAGCAACCTCATCTGATTTTGAAGAAGCCTCTTCCAAACTGAATCTTTCTGTGGTTCTACTTTTATGACGTTATTTTTGATATGCAAGCCTTCTGCTCCATGACCAAGATAACTATTTGCTTGCTTCTGGTTTTAAAAGTTAATTTGTTGTTGAAGACTACCAGCACCAAAATAGTGAGTTCAGTTTGGACTTGTTCTTTATTTCCACAAAGATGTCAGGCAACCCCACTAAGCACAGTAGTAGAAAATATAAGCTGTTAGCTTTGTGTAACTTATATAGGGAATAGAAAATAGTCCCCAATTATCTGATATCCTTACAGGTGCAAAAGACAAGTCGGTCTCCAATTCTAGGTTTCCTTATTAACAATAACAAAAACATTTGTGGACAAAGTAATAGCACCAAAACCTGTTTATGCATATGGGCACTCTAAATAACTATGGATACAAGAAGGCTGATGTACGAATGCTTCATTTACTAAACATGATGTGGAATTAGTCACAGATACTACAAACATTTCGATCCAAAGGAGTGCCTACAGAAGCTAGTCCCTGAAAATACATTTAGTGTCAATTTTCCAAAGACCTGAGAAGTATATCTGAAAATGATCAAGTAGTTTTGCACTGAGTTTGTAACTTTTTGCAGGGTTGAATATTTTAAGTTACATGAATAAAGTGAACTGAATTGCCTGGTTTTAAAAGAGGATAATTACATAAGCAGATCGAGTTCCCAGTGGAACCGAAAATTACCAAATAATGGGACAACTTTAGAAGATGAGTTATATAGGAAAAGCAATTGCTCAAGACATTGAAGGAGTGGCATGAAAGGAAGTTTAAGTCAAAAGTTAAATTAGCTGACTTTTTACCAAGGAGTAAAAATCCTCAGGTAATAAAATTGTAATGCAGGATTAAAATATAGTTAGGGCCACAGGACTGGTCTCCACATGAGGATGGCAATAATGTGATGAAATGAGAGTGAAATGTAATATTGAAGGCTGATGACCAATTTATCTTCACGAGGACACTGAGGTGCAGAAAGAAAAGATGCATCCTTATCTCCACAGTTCAAAAAGTTTAGACTTTGCTAGCTACTGTTGAGAAGTTGTGACTACTAATTATGGAAATGCTTCTGGAATGTGGAATAAAATCCACTACACCAGAGTTCAGTTTTGAAGAAACAACATAAGAATGGAAACACTTATTAAAAAATAATAATTAAAAGGAGCATTGAAATGAGTGAAAATCCATGTAGATGTAGAAGTTAAAGATACTACATTGAAAACAGTTATCAGAAAAAGACAACAAAAATGACCAAAAAAATCTTAAGCGGATGTTAAGAGAATCAAAACTGTTTCAACAAAAGCAACCTGTAACTAAATAAGGACAAGAATATGAACTCTTAACTCAGAGAACCACTAAGTAAGCAAGCATGAATTCCCCACTGGGCAAGAAGAGCTAGCTAACACATGGATAAAACCAACTTGTTTCGCTGATGACAAATATAAATTGTTGTTGAATACACTTATGGAAGCTGGTCACTTTGTGGTGAGATGGATATAATAGTACAGAAACATTTGTAGAAATAAATGGCAATTATACATACACAATGGTGGTCTCAAAGTTATCTATTCATTAACACTCCAGAAAGAAAAATGAGTCATAATCATCATGATGCATTTTATTTAAAAAATAAAAAATAAAAAAGATAATCAGATGCTGAAAACTCTGACAAAAGTTGAAAAACATGGAAAGCAAAAAAAAAACAGCTGAAAATGAGTTCTAGTGATTTGCTACTTCTAAATCTTAAATACAAACTGTACCTTCAGAAACCATCTAGTTACAATCAGAAAATGTGTTGAGAAGAACAAAGCATATCCAAAGTACAAGGCGTATTTCTCTTGAAAAACTGTGGGGGTAGGGGCAAAGTTTATAAAATGCTTACGAAAAGGAATAATTATCAGTATTCCCAAAACACTAGGAGGATTTGTGGAGCTAATACACCTTAAAACTCCACCGATCAGTCACATGTTGTACCTCACAATTCACTACAACTCATTATCGTGGGTATAACAACACACCACATGGACCTTGATCCTTGGTAACTGTTCTATTGCCTTTTTAGTTATGTTACGCAGAAGTACTTATTAAAAGGTTCGTCTACCTTACAAATACAGACGAAATAGTACCTGGTCTACAAGGCACTGTAAAAAGTCAGCTCCTTCAGCCACAGTATTAGCCAGTATCCCAGTCTGGGATTTTCCACTCCAGAGATTACAGCACTGTACTACTTCAATGTTTTAAAGTGTTACAGATTCAGTTATTTGCAGCGTAGTGGAAGAACCTCAGACAAACAACATTTGAAGTAATAATCTCCTGAAGTGTCCTCTGTATTGCTTATCACAACTGTAAAACATAATTAAGGAAGAACAGTCCCGAACAGCAGGAAAGCTGCTGTATAAAAGCTGTTAGGATGATCATAGAAGAGTGGTTGTATGAAAAGCTGCCAGCAAGCCCCAAACCAGTAACCTAGACCACAGGGAACCACATGGAAGAAAATGGGCAGGTATTTCAACTCATCTCTCCAAGCAGGATTCTAGTATTGAGGGGTTCATCACCACCACAGATAACACGCTGGTACTGTTGATGACAAGCACTATAGGACACAATAAAAGTCTCCTATGATTAAACAGCATTGCTGCAGGCTTCAGAACAATGGACAGGCCACATACACATCTGGTAAATAACTTCAAACGTTGGAAACTCAAGTCAAAGTTCTCTGAATTTATCAAATCTGATTTTGGTTCCAAAGTATAAGGGTTACAGGTGCCCTGGAGTAGCAGGAACCTTGACTGATCTTCGAGTAAATCCATCAGCCTACACGATGTCCTTCAGAACACTATTTCCCTTCAAAAAAGAATGAAGAATGGGCAAGAACCATGAACAAAAATGCAAATAATAATAATAATCCACCACTGACAAAAAAAAACAAATGCTAGCTGCAAAGTGGAAGGTCTCTGCAGAGGAAGCCAAAGGTTTCAATGAATTTTATTTAAAAAAGAAGGGTAAAATGGTAAAAAGAAGGGTAAAATGAAGCTAAGTTAGAAGAATCGGGCAAGAAGAAAGTGGCAGGGGAAATTATGTGGTGCAACTCTCACTGTAGATATTCTGTTGATTTCATGAACTGATGTTCCCCTAAATTTTCCAGCCTGCCTCCTCTTCTGAGGCAGACAGGATCTCAGCCTTTGGCACACTCTTGCTGGGGTTCTCCAAACTGTAAGAAACTCTTAGCTCCTGAGGAACCTGCATGCTAAGTTCACCTTTCCTAAATTCTTCACCCTTGCCTGCCTTCTTTTTCTTCAAAGAGATTGAAGTCCACTTAAATCTCAAGCAACCCATCAACGCCTTCCTGAATAAATTCAGGAAGAAAGACAGCAGTGTGCTGCAGAACTCCAAGCACAACTGAGAAGGGAACCGTATCACAGGAGGTAAGACAAATACCGCTTAAAAGCAGAAAAAGGAAAAAAAGACAGTCACAATGAATGACTGAACAACTCATGCTGAGGAAAAAGAAAGCTTAGAAGTATTCATAGCATTTTGCGTTGGCTTTGCAGCTGTTTTAGATTCAAGTCCCAGACTAGCAAAGGACAAACGCACAAGCGAGCAAAAACTTCCACCAAATCCATGGGACCTCTTGCATACTTGTAGTCAGGCACATTTAGAGTGTCTTGGAAACGGGAACTTACTACAGGCAGGAACAGAAAGTAAGTGTAGCTAAATCAGCTACATGACATATAAAATAAGAAGTGACACATGATACACATCTGTTATTTAATTTTATAGACTATACAACATTGCCATTTTACAGTGGTAGAAAACAAGGGATACAATCTTGCATTAGATTGTTATTTAGAGGAGCATGCTTCAGTCTCACAAATTTTGAAATCATTTGAAATTCACCTTAGTACGCTTTCTTTAAAAAAGTATTTCAAAACTCACTGATAGTTTAATATTCATAAATGCATCAGTTACAAGTGTCTGAACTGAATAGGTAATCAAGTTGAGTCACATGCTATTTAACCAAACGCACTATTCACACACATTTGTATTCCCCCGTAAGTTAGCACCACCAGACAACGCAGGGTGTGTCATGAAGGTAAAGATTACCACGACAGGGTTTTCTTTATTTTAGAACAGCAGTACTAGACGCAAAAATCCCTTCAATGAGCAACGGAGACAACGAACATCCTAACAGCACAGCAGCCATCACCAAGTATCTGCTTGCAAAACTCAAAAGAAGCCCATGAAGGTCAATCATACAAGTGCCATATGTAAAGATTATAGTTAAATACAAGAACAGAAATATCAAACATCAGGCTTCATGCACAGTGAAAGACATCAATTTCAACCTTCCCCCTAGTGACAACTGCTCCACCTTTTAAATAAGCATAAAGTTATCAAAGAGCTGTCTATAAAGTTAGCAAAGAGCTCTCCCTCTGCATACAATGGAAGTTAAAGGAAACAGCAGCCTGAAAAACACCAAGAAGCTGCATTAACAGGAAACAGCTCAGGTAAAACCACCCATGGACAATTGCTTTTTAACAAGCAGATACCTCCTACCCAAAAACTTAAACTCTCCTTAAAAAGTATCACTAGATATTAAAACACACTAGTATGCTTCCACAACCTTTACTGATCTGTCATTCTGCTTTCATAAAACTTGCTGCATCATTAGGTATCAAAAGCACTGAAAAGGGAGATCTCACAAAAACCAAACGGAAACAGGAATTACTTTGTCATTTGGGGTACGCTACCAGTGACATAGCTCATTTTGAAAATCAATCACAAGTTCAGGATGAACAAAAGTATCTGCACTCCTCAGTGTACCCTTTAATTTTCTTGCTTTAGCACAACCATGTTGCCAACGTTGCACTTAGCATCTTTGAGTGTTTCAGTGTTCCAGTGCCCTGCTGTGTTCCACAGACACATGAGTACGTAGGCATTCTCTTTTGCAACAAAACTAGGAGACTAGCCTACCATGGAAAACATGTTCTGGCTTCAACTGTTCTTATTAATCCTGAATGTGGTTAAAGATCCATTTAATAGAAGGATGAAAAACACAATAAACATAAAAGTGGATTGTTCAGTTACGTAGGATTTTCAGAGACCCATGCTTGCCACTCTTTATACTTTCTCCTTTGAAAACTGAATTTTAATTTTTTAGTTTCATGCCTTCCTATAATCATTCCTGTGGACATTGCTAATGTCAAAGTAATTATACAACTATTCTACTATGGTTGCTCTGCAATCTTTTTTTTTAAATACAAAAATAAAATATTTTTATTTTCCTAATATTACCCTTAGAAATTCTTTTTGCTAGCAGCAGGCAGAGGACAAGGATGTAAGATATTGGAAGCAGAGTCACCTTAACATATTGCAAACTGCCAGTTTTTACATATCTAACAAATCAGTATTTCCTGAAAAAACATTACATAAGAACATTTGAGTTTCTTAATCACAGTAATCAATTTACCTTCCCCTTAACTGTTCTCTAGATGATCTCTTATTTCCCTGGAATGCCTTCCTGTAGTTACTGTAACAAACACTAAGCTTCGTTTTGTTTCCAATGGCAATGAAAATGTGCCTTTTTTTTTTGTCAGCAGTACACATTCTACAAGCACACAAATATAAGAATACCATTATTGTTTTTTGTTTTTTGTTTTTTTTGGACAGACACAATAAGCACACTTTTTCTATGTAGAATATCTGAAGTTTGTCATTAGTAACTTTCCCTTCCCCTACAAATGCCACAAAGCATCATCTGTAGCACTTTTGACATTCCACACCAGCAGACAAGGAAAGAAATCTTCCCTTAGTTTTCACCGCAGAACAGCAGAGAAGGTGGTTGGTCAAATAGATTTATTAACAAAAGAAAGATTGTTACTTACACTGTACTGCATACGATGCCAGGACAACAGCAGAATTAAGGGGGCAAGACAACCTGGAAAGGGGGAAAATATTTTCATTTAGACAAACAGTATAAATGCAAACATTAACTATGTATTTGTAATTAGTTCTGTAGATAAGGTCTTGTTTATCTTCAGAGGGTGTCCAATTTTTTTCTTACACAGATCGACTGTCAAAGCAAAGTAAGACTGTACATCACAGGCTAGCTGGGTAACGCTAGATGCGTATTCTGGAAACAAAAGAAGGGATTTTTATAGGTCTCTGGACATTATTTTAATAGCTGCAGTCTGGTATATTTGGAACTAGACACAAACACTAAAATTAGCCAAATGCTAATTTTATATGTATACATGGCAAGCTCTGATATATTATCCAAAAGTGACTCCATAACCTACTATGAAATCCTAAATTGCCTTTAGGATTGCAGATAAGGAAAGAGAAGGTGCTTGTTTGTTTAATGTACAAACATACAGGAATCACAGGCAAAACAACCATTGGGTGTATGTTCACTCGATCAGGAAGATACCCCGTGACCACGAGAAACAGTAAGAAACAGTAGTATGAACAGCCCTTTGCTATTCCCTTCCTGTTACTGCAGCTTACAGAAGGCCCCTCGTGTTTAGAATACTGTCTAGCACACCATGCTTTGCAGAAAGAGGGCGTCTCAAGCAGACGTTGTGTGTGCAGAAACACCATCTCCTACACCTCATTCACAACAGACTCCTCAACTGTTCTTAATAATTGAGCTATGCAAAAATTTGCAGTGTTTCCAAGCAACTGATTTTTTAGAAAGCAGTATTTCATGATGTACATTTTTATAGCAACAATAGACACCATCAGAAAAAGGCTTGTTTTATTGGTTTTGATTTTCAACAGAATTATGGAGAAGTTGAAAATTGTTATTACCTTCCTTCCACAATGTCTGTCTTCAGTTGTAAGAAGAATAAGTGCCTAGGAAATAGTTTTTGGGAAAAGAGAAAGATTTAATTTTCATATATAAAAGGTATGGTTTAAATGTTTCCAAGTATTAATTCTATTTTATTATGGGGGTAGGTTTCCTTGCAAATTATACGAACAGATTAATAAAGCTTAGCGGCATTTACAAATACGTCATCACACACCCACTCTCTTCTCACAACAGTTTTGAAAGATCTTTGACAGTCGTTACCACAGCACCAGGACCACAGTATTAATGGCATAATGAACACTGTGAAATATAAACAATTACAGAACCAGTCTCCCTTTCTCACAGGAGCATCCAACTTGGATGTAAGTTCTTTAAAAAAAAAACACAAATAAATCTGTGATAGTTTATCTTGGGACTATTTTTAATGATCAAGGGAGGGAGGATGAGACTTTCCTCAAGCAGCATATGCTGACAAAAGCTCTTAAACAACCCTCCAAGAGCAATTTAGTCTTTCTCATATTAGGGTGTTTGACAAAATTACTTGATGGCAGTATGGAGTGCTGGGAGTGAAGAATCACACAGAGCAGACCTTTGAATAATTTTAGTTTGCAACTAACAGCTTACAGCCGCATGATTAACAAAAACTAAACAGGTCAATACTTCATTTCTCTGTAAGAAAACCTTTTAAAATGCTGTACTATTTATATTCTCGAGGGACTGAAATTAGCTATTAAAATTTAGGCAAACCATGAAAATGTGACAAAAATGCCAGATGAGTGGGAGCCTGTGAATTCTAAATTCTAAATCCTGTGCACTGAACAAAACAAGTATTTCAAGCCTTTTGACACATTAATTGAAAATTACTTCTAATTCACGTACCCCACCACTCCCAAAACTCAGATTAAAAAAGAAAACGTTGAAGGTCTGCTATAAACTGAACCATTATGTATCTTTGTATGCTACAAGTAATGGGCGAACCAGAAAACAAGAACTGTTATCTGCTCTTCCTGAAACAAAATAAACAACGCCCTCTCACACCCTTGGAATTAAATCTACCAAGTGTGTTCAGAACTGACTCAGCGCTAATACAAAAAAAAAATATTAACAGACTTCAGGCATGCAGACAGCTTAATCATTCAACTTCCCCATTTTTTAATCATTGCATCTGGTTAATTAAGGGATCAGAAGAGGATGAAAACAATATGCAGCAATAAAGAGTTCAAAAAGGAACCCAACGTGCAAATAAAACAACTGACATCTCTGTAACTGGCTTATACTTCTGCCTGTATTTTGGAATTGCGGGCTGCCTGTAGCAGAAACCATTCATTACAATCATCACATGAAGCTGCTAATTCAAAACACATTTAATACAAAGAATTATACAAGGTTATATTACATAATAAACTGTTAGCTTGCCAGACCGTGGAGGTGGAAGGGAAGGCTTTACACATACTTAGTTTATGGAAGCAAACATCAAACAGAAGTTACCTGGTTTGTTCTTGCTGAAGTGTGTTAGGATCGGGTATAAAAAACCTTACGCGAAAACGAAGGGTGCAGGGAAAACCTCCTAAAATATTTCAGAAGACCAAATCAATTTTCTCTTTAAAAAAAAAAGATATACCCAAGGTTCCTATGTCTAGATTTACAGAAAAGTTATATGAATAACCATATAAAAATCTCCTGTGTTTTTCATGTGGTTTACTTTGAGAGAAGTCTTTCCTGATTCCCCACACCAACTATGAAAAGAAAATATTCTTAAGGATTATGATGCTTTCGTTTAAAGTACTTAGTACATGGTACTTTACATAAAAAGAACTATTTAGCTATCTTTGCTGCTTTGATCTAATAGCTATTAGAAAAGGAAAAAGCAGCAAACATATATGAAGAGTCTCAACCAGGATAATTCTATCTTAATAACAGAAATATAAAATAACAGAAGTTCACCCTGTTAACTTCATGTGTTTTTATTTGAATTTCTACACAATCTCCAGAATACGGTAGAAAGAAAAGAGCTTAAGAGCTGGAAAACAGCTCAAGTTTTCCAGCACAAACTGGGACTGTGTCCTACTACTCCATGTTCTCTAGGCTGCTGTCTGGGCATTATCATGCTGGCTGGCCTGTCCTTAAGCTCTTCCTTCCTCTTGGAAGCATTCTGTACTACCTAAAACTGTTTATAAATGAAACATACTAGAGCAATACATGCATTTGGAAGCACTTTTTTTCTTTTGGTGGTGTTGTTTTGTTTTAGTTTTTCTTTTTCCTTTTTTGCATAAAATTAAGTTGTTGTTTGTTTTTTTTTATTCTACTTGAAACAATAAATTTGTTACACATCCCTCAACGAAATCCCTCTTTCTTATCTTCCATGTAGGGATGAATTTATTGGCACCAAACTGGCTACTGCTTTCATAGCCATGACGTCCAACCGTGCTCAGAAGTGAGGTATAGACACTGACACAGCACAGTTAGTGATCTGTCACGTCCCAATAACTCAGAGAGCAGTAAGAGATGCAGAAAGTTCTATTGAAAAGGCTGACAGAGATGAGACTTGCTCTAAAAGAAAATCTACTATCTGGATGCACTAATTAACAGCAACTTCATTTATTCAATTCATAAGAACATAAAAAAGCTGAACTACACAGCTACAGTTGAGATATAAAAATAGATCTTACCTTTCAACTGTTTCCTAATAGGTTTGTTTGGTTCAAGCCATCGCTGTGAAATGAAAAACTATTAGATAGATTAAAATATTTACAAACAACTGGTGTTTATTTTTATATATGTGTGTATGTATATATATGCACATATATATACACACACATTTATTATTTACTATACTTACAGGTGAATCTACCGACGTTTCATTTTGCTGTAAACCAAAATATTCTTTCTCTGTCACACCCAGCTGGTTATAGGTCATATCCAACAGAATCTGACCAGTGTCTTGTTTCTGAAAGCAAGAAAAGTTCAGAAGTGAAACTCTGCAACACTTACACACCTTAATATACAATTGATTTAAATAAGTTTTATTAAATAAACAAACTCTGCAACATTTACACACTGTAATATACAATTTAAATAAGTTTTATTAAAAAAATAAACAACTTGTGAATAAAAATACCTGCTAATTCCTTGGTTCAAAGTTTCTCGGCAATAGAAGAACTTTAATTGATAAAAGTTTATTTATTTATTTTTTTTAAAGATATTTTCTTTCCAAAATACATTAGGTACCTGAAATCTCATAATATGAATTGACATGAACTCAGGTCCTTGAGGTCGGTCCCACAACTGCCTTTTATGCAGACCACCTCTGCTCCATCAGCCCTTAGAAGCAATACCCCTTTCTCTGGAGCTGTACCCTGCAATCCTGGCTTGCAGCCACACGGGGCTGCTGCGGCCCCTGATGTCACCACCAAAGCAGCTTTTTCTGTTTCCACATCAGCTTTCGGAAGGGAAAGTTTGTATACACCAGAATAGGGAGAAAAAAAAAAAAAAAAAAAAAAGTAGGAGAAAGCTGTATTCCAGCCATGGGATCCCGGACTTCATTAGCCTGAATTCCCACTCGCCCTGCTACCGTTATGCCACCCCAGCCACCCATCCCGTGGGGTATTCCCACAAAAACTGGTGTAACCGGGAATTCCACGGGACACCCAGATGCACGAGCACAGGGTATTTTCCCTGAAATTACATTAGCATACCTCCGCACCACTGCAGCGTGGCATAGAGATTAACCAGCTTACGTCAAAGCACACCGCTAATCAATGCTGTTAGCACAAATAAACAAACAACACACAAAACCCCTGAACAAAACTGCAACCTTAAAGATGCTAATGTGTACCACAGCTTGCAATGCTGCAATGCATTTTCAGTGTAGTCCTTTATGTACTAAGTTGCTGGGCAGAACGAAACCCAGGACAGTTTGTTTCGCATCCCGTCTATACAAAAGATTATAGACGTAATTTTTTTTTTAATCTTCCTTTTGAATTTTCCGAGTCTTTTTCTTGAAATCAGAAATAAGCTGTACACATGCACAAAAATGACATCAGGGGAAAATTCTTCGGGCTGCGACACAAGCACTTTGTTTAGGAAACCAAAGGGCTTGATGCTTATGCATTCATACATACTTACGCACCACATCTTTGTGGATGGCCCCAGTCTTATTCAGTGTGTGAGAGTGCTCACTTACGTCAAGAACACAATATTTTATTCATTTCTTTTTGTTTAGACCTTGTTTATTATACAACACTCAAGCTCTGCTCAGAAGACAGATTTATCTGCTTTTTGTTGGTTTGGGCCTTTTTTTTTTTCTTTTTTTTTCTTTCCCCTTTTTACACAGGGCACCAAAGCACTGTAAAAGAGTGCTTTAAATACTAACATATTCCATAGTCTCCCCTTATCTCATAAAAACATTATTCCTATTTAGAAGATTGGAAAGGACCACCAAAAATTCAATCACAAGACACACTCTACTACCTTATTTTGGAGTGCTGAATATTACCTTACACTTACTACCAGAGCTTAGCTACTCACTGCTAGAGCAGAGCTCACGAGCCCCATTGGGATCTGAATGCTCACTATTTCTACACCAGACTCCAGACAAAAGGTAAGGTACCAGGAAAACAACGACTGTCCTCCTATGAGAAGCTGTGCCTAATTTTCTGGAGCAAAGTCCCCTAAGAAGAAACCAATGTAGGCAATGCTTCGCTGTCGTGTATGAGACTACCTTTTCTCCCTCCAGCAGTCTCCCACCTTGCTTAACTTCTGCAGCAAACAGAGGAAGCCTTGCAATAGCTGCAAGTCAAACCAAGTCAGTGACTGTGCTGCCATCAAACGCTGCAGCTCTGTCCTCTCTCCCTTTTCCCAAGCTGCACATTCCCACTCCCCACTTTCTAATGTCCCATGGGACATTCAAATCAGCATCAATCAAAACCATTTTTTTTTTTCTGAAATAGCATACTCAGATTTAAACCCAGAATAAAAACTGTGGCATCTCATTCCATATTCATTTCATCTCTATTCATTTGCCTGTTGTTTGTTTTTTTTTTTTTTTTTTTCTTTTTCTTTTTGCTTACAAGAACATTAAAAACTATCAAGTGGCACCACACGACACCTGCATAATTCTGCAGCATGACTTCACATGTCTGGAGCACACTTCTGACACTGAGCAAACTGAGAAATTGATGGCTATTCTGTGACCAAACGCAGTCATTACTCGGGATGACACACACACTTGAATCAAGAGTTCAGGAATCTTGGGTTTTGTTACAAGCAGGGCAGAAGACAACTACCGTGGGCAGACTCTACTGCTAATTTTCTCTGTAAACTCAAACACTTCTGACTCCTGTTCCTCACAACACCATTACCTCCTAGTTCCTTTCTCATTTTTAACACTTCTAGTTCTTCAACACGATTCAAATGCCTTCCTCTTCTCTATCCCCACCTTCTCACAGTGGTCTACCTCTTTTTCTGTGCCACACAGGAAATGCTAAGCACACTTTTACTGCTTCCCTTTAAAAGTAAGCTCCCTGTTTCTCTATTCTGAATCCTAAACCCACCTGCTCAGCATTAACAGCAGCCACCAGTATTTTCTTCTACCTACCTAGCATTCCCTCCTCCTCCTCCTCCTCCCCATCTTCTTTCACAAGCAGTCATCAACACCACTTTTCTGTAGCTTCAATCCTAGCTCTCTGGTATCAAAGGCAGAAATTTTCTTCCACAGTGCCTAGATGAAGCACTCACTCCCTAAATCTAAGCCAAGTACAAGAAGTCACCTTCAACTGTTAAAATCTTTTCCAGTTGTCAAAATTCCTGCATCTGAATGTTTTTATTTTATTTTTTTCCTGAAGAAACCCTGTATTTACACAGCTTTTGCTTTGTTTTAAGAAACAGACTAATTATTTTGCAGCCTATATATCTACAAGATACCCACACAGCTCATGCTGCATTATCTTCAGTCTATTTTGCACATTTACAATTTTCAGATCTGGGTGTAAAGTGAGGCAGGCTAAGTACGTCACATCACTGCTTCTGAATTTCGACATCCATTCCAATCGATGGTCCAAAGCCACATAGGACTCTACCTAGTGTTGAGTGCATAAAAACATAAAATATTTTTACTCCTCTCCTCCATGGGCAGAGGACAAAACAACACGAACACCACTCAGCTGAATTGGATATTAGGACCAAGTTCTTAACCCCACGAATCATTACAGCAAGTAGTTAAGACATTAATAAAGCTCTTCCCTTCCTACAAGGAGGTAAAAACTTATGCACGCTGTAACAGTACTCAAGGGTGAAACAGCACAAGATCCTGAGATGGTTTCTTGTCTCTGCTCTGAAAGAAGTTTCCATTTATTTAATCTTTCTGACATTCCTTATTCTGCTGTTAAAAGTTTTGCATTAAACACCTCATAACTACACATTATTCAGTCCATTTAAATCTGTTTTGAAACATATTTCACCTCATGCTGGACAGGTCAAAATTAATATTTAAAGATTATACCTGTTACAGTCTGCCTGTGCCACAACATGAATTCCCTAAATACAGCTGGAAATTATTAGCCAACTTCAAATCTCGTAGCTTACTAAAAATTCAAGAGAAAGAACCCCTTCATTATTTTTTAACTTCAAGTACTGCCTAGCAGCTTGTATGATCAAAGATTCACTGTCCTAAGAACTGCATAAACATCATGTAAATGAAGACTTAGCTCTTTGGAGTGGAAGGGTAAATACGCAAATCATCCTTTTCAGCTCGTTACCTTCCATAGAGTAACCTGTACAAAGCAACACCTTCAGAGGACAGTGCAACACACCTCCCTGTTTCCTTTGCAAGAGCTTTGCCCCATTTTCTGGCAATGACAAGCTCACAATTAAGCCTCTCCTACGCTTTTGCAAATTCAGCCTCACTACATACACAATGCCCACTGCTCCTCACGTGTTGTTTCAGGTCATCCTTTCTTGATTTAGGCCTTTAACACACATTCACCACTAACAGCCTTTGGTCCCTATATGCCTAAGAACTAGAACAAAGCGCTACACTTTTTTCCAGTGTCCACACTGATTCTACACACTGCTAGTTTATTTGCTCTTCTGCTAACAATGCCCTTTCCTCCTGTTGGAAATTATTTACTTACCTAATGCCCTTATTTAGAGCATGCAAGATTTTGTTTAGCTAAAATAAACAGAACAGCCTGTTCTTTTCTCAGGTCCCGACTTCTGCAGAGCATCCTAGTTGTCCCTTCCATGCCTGCCCAAGCTGAAACTTGCCTTTTTTTGTCTGCTTGTGGATCTGCACATGACTTTCCATGGAAGCTGGTTCCAATGCCAAGACTAACACTGCTACCACTTCCTCGACATTGGCTCAAAGCTCCTGCCTGATGCACAGTAGCACTCACCTTTTTCACAGCCACAACAGAAGTAGTTCAGTCTGGAAACTACCAATGTTTTCCTCCTCAATTGTTTACAACTGAAAACTAAGCTTGAACAAACAAAAAAATAAAGCAGCCCACATTAAATACTTCTCAGGAAAGCTATTACTTTATACCATTGATTTTTTCCTGCTGCATTACTCATTTTTCACGGTTACCTGTCTACTACATCATACTCCTATTTCTTTTTGTTTGTTTGTTGGGTTGGGTTGGTTTTTAAATAAGGCCATGAACCTTACTTTTTGGTTTACTGAAAAAATTTCATAGCAACATGTTAAAGAAATTTATCAGTCGGTAACTCCACTGGTAATGTCCTTACACAGCTTAACATCTCTCTTTTCAGCAGGAACTACTGGCACCTCTTGAGCCAACTCCTTGCCCGTCCCATAACACTGCTAGATTCCCTACACTACAGCTCAGTATTTTCCTTTATAAAGGTCACACAAAATAAGTTATCTAAGCCCACAGAGCATTGACTCACTGCATTTTCTTTGTCTCAAAAATGATTTTGTTTGTTAAACACATATGAAGTTTGTTGTGCCAGATCTAACTTTGGAAATATCTCCCCTGCACAAATTCTTTCCTTCAGCATTTATTACGAAGTCAGGCACCCTGAAGGGATCAGACTAACAAGCCTGCAGTAGGTCAGATCACTTTCTCACTGTCCTCAAAGTCATCAAGTTTCATACTGTCTTATTGTTTTCCAGACACAGAGTAGCCTGATCTGCTTCAACATAAAACTAAATATTTGTTGCTAGCCTGAAATTTCATACAGTAACTCTTTCAATATGCAGGGATGCAGATTAGCACCAACCTCTCCTGTGTTACCAAACAATGGAAGTAGGAAAAGTTAGTGATGAAGATGCTACACATCTGTATTGTTGCAGTTTAGTAAGAGCGGCTTAAAATTTTAATTCACACCCACAGCCAAAAAGAACCTTTAAGAGAACCTCTGCTCATTATTTTAAACATATCAATACCAATTGTTGATGATAACTGTAACAGTCGTGTTCCTTCTCAAAATCCTGAAAGGAGGAACTTGATTGGGAAGGTACAGAAAAACCACCAATCCTCACCGTTTGCATTTCAAGTCATACAACTTCTAGTTATTACCACCAAATCATTGTATTTCTAGAAGAAAACCTTATTTCTAGAAGGAAGCCAAATACCTTAAAAGCAGAAATCACAGGCACTAAAAACAAAAGCATCAACTGTGCTTTAGAAAGATAATACAACACAGAGATTATTCGACACTATGTTTCAGCCTTTCCCAAAAGTCAGTTTGCTGGAAATTTAGACGCATAGCTCCCAAGTAGTCATTCCTGGTAAATGAGTCAAAGTAGAGCAATAATGGAAAATTCCTGTATGTTTACACCAAAAGCTGCAAACAGATCTGCATTATTGCTCAATATATACCTATTTATCACACCCAAACATGGTATGTGAGCACATTCTGTATGTATTAGAATGACAAATAACATTTTCCTCATGTGAAGACAGTCATAAGTTCAGAGACAAATGAATTAACCTTATCACAAAATTCAAACACATGACATTTATTTGAAAGCTTCAAGAAAACTTGAATATAATCAGATACAACATTCCATGTGAAGTGCAGTCAAGCCCTGGTCTCAAATATTTCCAAATTTTAGTTTACATGCACCTTCTATTCTTTGGGTGGACTTTGGACATGTTCCATCTAAATACTGAAACACATGATGGAGGAAAGACAAGACAGGCCATTTCAGCCTGGCAGAATTAACATACAACTTCCTTTGGAATGTAAGCCAAGAAGCAAAATGTGAACTTTCTTGATAAAGATGACCTAAGAACAGTACATACCACAAGTTATATTAACTTTTTGTGATACCATCAATATAAATTTCTCATTCACCACGTATAAGCTCCTTCAAATAAAAACAATGAACAATAAAGGCTATCATTCCACTACCATGCCAAAAACAAAATATAAAAGAAAAAAATGTTTCTCTTGAAATTATATTTTCCTTTTCAGCTGGCCAAGCTACCAACATTCTTTAGTATAAGAGCTTAATTAGAACAAACTCAAAGAAATCAAATTAAGCAACTATCTCGAGGTTTCTCAGTAATCAAAGTCCCTCAGGTTATTTCCACAAGGAAAAAACATCTTTGTCCTTCCACTGCCCCATTTTAGAATGGCTGGATTTTGTTCACATTGTTACAGGTACAACCATTTGGAAAAGTCCCATGTAGCAGAATGACAGAGACACCTACAGTTACGATTTGGAAAGTTTTCTAAGCCCATGCAGTTTACCAACAAAGACTGAGGAAATTCAACTGTGGAGGCATCCAGTTGCTACAGAATGTAGAAAAAAAGTCAGCTCTGTTCTCCTTGTTCTCCAGAACGTTCAATATTTGGTGGTACCATGAATATCAAGACATTAACTTCCCTACTAGTTCAAAATTTCAAAATACATAAATTCTTATTTTCAGTGTGTGAATAGGTTGACAGCTTAGACTATTAAATTTAATACAAAGGTGATAAATTCAAATTCACTTCAAATTCATTAGTCTTGGGCATTTGTTCAGTGCCAGTGAGACATTAGAAATTACAACCTCAAGATACCTATTTGCTTAAACTCAAAGCAAGTTTCTCTTGAGTTACTTCTTACCCTTGATATTTTTTTTTGATGTTTATTCCTCTCTATAATATTTATATGCCTTTGAAAGAAATCCTCTTGCAGGAAGAATTCTGTGTTCAGATAACTGCTACGTGACAAAACAACGTTCAATATTTTTCAGTTTGTTGCCATTAGAATTGGAGGAGTCTTTAATTCCACTTTGACTATTTCATGAAGGAAAGCCAAGATTTCTTAGGCTTTAGACTTAGCCTAAAGTCTGCCTTTCCCCATTCACTTTCTGCTACTTGTAGTTGAAACATACCTACATCTACAAATGCAAGGCGTACTTACATATTTGTGAATATTAGCCTAATATTCATACATTGACACATCTATCTTAATACATCCAAACTCAGAGCTTTCATAAATCACTGTGAGGTACCCCTAGCCCACAAACTAGCCCTGAAAATTTCCCACTCTTTGTTTTTCACTAATATACTGAAGTGCTTTGCTCACAGGCATTAAAACAAATGGTGCTGGCCGTGAAAATAACAACACACACACAAACTTCACGAAGCTGAATTTGTCTGTTGATATAATCAGAACTCAAATATGAGTTTTCAGCAGCTGGCTTCCAGTCCTATTCAGAGCTGGACTTTGTGACACAATCAGAGAGTAGCAAAGCCTGCCCTGAGGCAGGCCTCAAGGTCAGGTAATCAGGAAGGGCAGGCCTGACAGATGAGTACAGACTCCCCCAGAGCTGGTAGGGGAGCTCAGTACTGCGAGGACATTAATCTTCGTGAAACCTCGTCCTTGCACTAACACACAACCTAGCGAGGTAGCCACACTCCTTGCTTCTTTGCGATGAAGGGTCCTGTGCTGCCCTCAGGGCAGCTCAGCATTACAGTGGCGGGGAAGGAGGCCCTTCTGACTGCTGGATCAAGCAGACAACCAGCGGGGACACCCCGCGGCTACGCTCGAGGCAGGGAGATGAATTAGCTGGGCCCAGAGGTTCACAACAGTTTTGATCTTTTGTACAGAATTCACTGCTTAAAGGATGAAACAAGAAGCACAAAGTTCAGGTGCACGGTGCTACATTTCATCAGGCCAAGAGCTAACCCTGAAGCTCTGTAAACAACTGCTTACAGGGAAGAGTACACTATTATCAAAAGTAGTAATTCCTAATTTTTCAAAGGTCCTTGTACATGGACCTTTGTCCCTTGTACATGGGACAAGAAATTTATGCCAAGTCCAGTCACAACTGACAGACAAGGCAATCTTATAGGGCATGCTGGAAATGAACAATTAAAATTTTCTATTAGTTTTCTGCTGCTTCTCTTATATTCCTACCTCCCCCCAGCATCCTACTCCCCACGGTTAGCTACTATTACATTTATATACATATATACACACACACATATACACATACACATAAATGTGCATGTACACCTACATATACATTTTACATATAAATCTACGTGCGTATATATAACATACATATACTAATACATATGCTTATCTATACAAAATATATACTAAAATATTTGACTAATTCTGAGTGTTTTGGAATGTAAGCTATTAGACTGAAAATAATTTGTTTGGCTAGCAAATTATTTTTCTTTCGATAAACATCCAGACAGAATTCAGAAATAAAATGAGTCTGCAAAGCGAATTGTAACAACACTTTGGAAAATACTGTTTTCAAATGAGGCTTTGAGAATCCTGTAGGAATGCATGCCATAATTTAGAGAAATGCAGCAATGGAGTTTCCTCATAAAAACCCTTAACTTCTCAGCCTGGGTAAACTGGACAAAGGAAGCATCATATGTGCAAGTTCACACTATACTTTAGGTCAGTTTTTCCTGCACAGTCAAATAATTCTACTGAAAACTGATTGAAGAGTTAAGGTGATTCCTTTGTTTTCATCTAGAAATGAAACAACACCTTTAATCAGTAAGAAGGGTTATGAAACTAAATATTTACAAAATGAAGTAGTGTTCTATCTGTACAACTGCATTATATTAGCTGCTTTCCCAATACAGATATTCCAGTAAAATTCTGTAGCATAAACTTGTCTCAGCAGTTGGACTTGATCTTTGCAAGTCCCTTCCAACTGTACTACTCTACAGTAAGTTCTATTAGCCTGTCCAAAATTTCCAACATCCTCCATCCCCTTTCCCACTCTGCTCCCCTAAAAAATAAACCAATAAAAAGAACACATTGAAGCACAACAGACTGACCTGTCCTACTAAGCCATGCTGTCTTCCCTACTTGCGTGATCTTTGTATTTCAGAAAACATGTAATGACCTCACTATGTTAATTTACATTTACAATTTACCTCCTTTTAGCATTACTCATCCTTTGCTGACAGAAAAGAAATAGTACATCCAAATTTGCGATTCCCCTTTAGATACAAATTACTTATTCACAGCTGATCATGATAATTTTATCTGCTTCTCAGGGATTCCTATGCTATGTAGAAGACCATTTTCCAGATACAATCTGCTTGATGTGATTTTATGACTCTTCAGTCAGTTGACTTTAGAGAAAATTAAAACATAGCTTCATAAATCTATTTCATAACCAGTAACTCTGCAATTTTGAAATGACAAAGATATACCTTCAACATTGTACAGAAATCCCATACCTCAGGGTCCCACAATTGACCTTCAGCTTTCAAACAAATACTTATGGATTTAAAAAATATATAGTTTTCCAAACTTACATTGACTTTGAAGCTTTGTATTGAGCCATCCAAAAAGTGAACGTTGCAGGTTATCTCTGATCGGGTTTTCTCTTTTGGTAGTTCTGATGCTCGTATGTTATTTATCCTCCCACCTAAGGCTCGTAAACGGGAGTTCATAACTATTGCTGAATAACCTATAAAACAAAAAATACATTTAATAACAGTTCTTACAATTCACTAATATTTCACCAATACTTTTCTAAGAAACCCACAAGATGAAGGCCTCATTACACCCCAAATACTTAGAGTAACAGAATTAATTTTGAATTTTTGAATTAATTTGAATTAATAAGGAAAAAAAAAAGCACCTACTATAAAACAGATAGACAATGTTAAGGAAATTTTCTACCATCTGTACCTAGTAAATTCATCGCCTCTGTATAATATCCTACATATTTCTATATTTACCAAACAAGTTTTACTACAGGAAAACATTTCTTTCTATTCTAAATTCTAACTCGATTTAATGCAGATCACATTCTGTCAAGTAGCATTTTGTTACAGGAACACACACACAGACCATATGTATGGCAACCAGAATTAACGATAAAAACATGTCAATATTTTACAGCCTACCATGCATAAATTCATGAAGCCAGAAATCTACATCCAAGAAGAACAGCCCACAAAAAATGTGTTTTGTTTTTTTTTTTTCTCCTTGGAAAAATCTTTCAGAACACTCAAACTCTGAAAACCATACTTTTCACAAATGCAAATGAAAAAGAAAAAAAAGGAAACATTCACCAAAATAAACAATGAATTAAATACAGTCAAGCCCGTAAACATTTCAAGACTCTCTCCACTAGATCAGTTTACCAATTAACATCACAACATATAAAGCCAGTTGGCAAGCGAAGCTGAGGATAGTTTTCCAGGTTAATTACCATACCAATTACCGAGTCATACCTCACTTATTAGAGGCTAGCTACAAAAAGACTTGCATAATGTGTTTCCTAGACAGCTGGCCAAGCTAGACAGGACCAATGTCAGGACTATTTTGGAATCTCCCCTTGTTTGTCTGTCTGCCTGTAAAACATAGACTGACTTTTCTTTAAAACAGCTAAAAAAAATGAACTTGTCAGAATAAAATTACTTAAAATTCTGAAACACCATATCTACTCACACATCCCTGTGAAAAGTAAACGTGAAAGGCATGAAATTTTAGAGGCATGAAATTTTACCAAAGGCAACAAAAACAATGCAACGATCCTTCTTCGTATAACAATGTATAATCTGTACTTAGAAGTAGCTCAAACAAATCCTTCTCAGAAAAAAAAAAAAAAAAAAAAAAAAAAGCTGAAAATTCACAAGTCAGACATTCAATGAGTACTCATACTTTTTGGGGGTCAGCCAATTCATAGTTTGCTATTGTTTATTTCCTAAAATCTAAACTGTATGTAAATTGCCAAGACTGATTTATTTAGCCAGCACATTGCATTTTTTCCTGGCAGTTCGACAATATTTTCCTCTCACTCTTTCCCAGACATGATTTCTTTTGGTTTGTTTCTTTAAGGAGGGAAAAAAAGGAGGAGGTGATCTTCAGGTGAATTCTGAACAATGTCTCCATATAAAACACTATACACTCCTATTGCTTTGAAATTGCTCTTGATATTGATGTATCAGTGTACTATGATTAAATGCAGATTGTTTTTTGTTTTGTTTTGTTTTGTTTCAATCCAGAAAATGGACAGTCTTATTCAGGAATGGTTGTTGCTGAAGAAAACATGCAGTTACCTAATTATCAATGGCATACAAAAAGGTGAAGGCATATTGAACCTTCATTCTCATATTCTTTATGAGAAGAATAAAGTTTCTAGAAGTTTTAAGTTTCTAACGTTTTCAGCTATTTATTCATCACGGTGTTCCTCTTTTACCAAAAAGCCAGGTGACTGCACAAACTATACCAACACTGTCTCCTCCCCCTTCCATGCTCAGAGGTCAAAAACGTTTCACTTGCAGGAAGAGACACAGAATCACAGAATCGTTCAGGTTGGAAAAGTCCTCCAAGATCACCTGGTCCAACCATCACCCTACCACCAATGTCACCCACTAAACCATGTCCCTAAGCATCACATCCAGCCTTTCCTGGTACACCCCCACGGACAGTGACTTCACCACCTCCCTGGGCAACCCATTCCAATGCCTGACTGCTCTTTCTGAGAAGAAATATCTCCAAATTTCCAACCTGAAACTACACCTACCAGCTAACCCACTGATGGGAGAAAATGTTTGTATCCTTTGGTCCAGCCCCTGGACAAGGAGCAGCTTTCTGCAAGCCAAGTACAGAGCGGATGGCAGCCTCTGCTGGGGTTGGGCTTTTTTGCTACTCAGGGAAGAAAAAAGGACTAATCTACCCAAATAAACAAATAAATAATATTATTTAACTGCCTGTGCACGACTGTACATAAGATTACAAGTCACTTCCTATCAAGGTGCCCCTGCAGAAAGCCTAGCAAGTCAGCTGGATGGCTTAGCCCATACATCAGGTAGATTTGTGAGACTAGGCTTCGTTTTTGGACTATGGTCTCCTATGCCTTTTCTAAATTAATCCCCTATATGTCTCGTCTCCATATGTATTAACCTTTACACAAAATTCATCCACTGTCCACACTAAATTGCAACACACTCCCTAAATCCAAGCCCACGTTTTGTCCAATACTGCCTCCTAGACACAAGAGATGAGAGGAATTCCACCTTCAAGCTGTCTGCAACAAGAATAAAAGCCATTTTGAAGGCTTTCGCAAAATTTTTAATTAAACAGATTTTTTAACTCTACTGAGAACGTCCAATATGTGTTCTCACAACTTCCACGTCTCTCCTCCAACGAGCCAGACCTGCTCTTTTCTGTGCCACAAACCTGTTAATCCGTCTCCAAGCATCCATGGCAGGTAGCCAGGAGCTAACAGTAACACTTCCTCGCATACTGCTACTTGTTGTCAAATCACAGAGGTGCTTGCTTTAAGACTGAAGTTACAGATGGTTTTTATGCTACTTGTTAACAGTCTCATACCTTTATGGTTGAGAGCTTCACGAAAGATTTGTTTCCCATCTTTAGGTTATATGCTCGATACCCCAAGTGAAAAAGCAACTTGGAAATTTCAGCATGAGAAATGTAAAGCTTCTAGCACGACCCGCGTTGCATCGAGTTCACGAATGAAAACTTGGGATTTTTCTTTACTTCTTTTTAGTACTTTCATGCAAAGTGAAGTCAGTAACGCAGGCGGAGCTCCCAGCCTGTGTCTCCAGCCGGGGCTGTCCTTGGCAGAAACAGCCAAGCACAGAGGCCGTGCCAAGAGCGGGATAAGTGGCGGGGTGTTTGGACACCGCAGCCATCAGTCTAGCTGGAGCTCAGACAGCCTAAGCAAGCCCCAGAGAAGTGCCAGCAGCTGGGTGCTCAGGGCACAGAAAGCTGGCCTTTACTTGCCAGCTACGTGTCCTTCAACGTCATTCAGCACAGGAGCTAAAAATTCCCCAGGGAGCTGTTTGACAGGGACCATATAATAGGTATGACTTCGGCACCAGCCTAAGTCATCATGCGTGCCGGAGCTTACTATGCCACTGCAAGTCATTAATGACACAACTTTGTCAGTCCCTGTGCTAAAGGAAAACAGAAGAGAGATGAGCATGAGTTACCAGCACCTGCTCTGCTACTCTGCTTTCATCCAGAATCTGTCTGAAAAAGCTTATTTAAAAAGAATAAAATATAGATTCTGAAAGGCCTGGCTTATCAACCCCAGTGTAATATAAAGCGGTACCTGGAAACATAAAGCAGCAATTGCAGCTGCTTTGGGACAGGCAAAGGGTTCCCGGGATCACAGGCCCAGAGAGCAGGTGACCCCACATGTTATTTTCACATTAAGGTATTAAACAAACATGTGAAATTCTATCCCCTAATCAAATCAGGCAAACAGGAACGAAAAACTTAGCTACAGAAAGAGGTTAATGTGCTCCAAGAGCGTTAAACACATTTCTGAACAAGTCTAGTTATGCATGCCTTCCCCAGGAATTAAGCAGCAGTCGAGCAGAACAAAACAAAAAAAAAAAGTGTTTTCCTTTTCTGCTGTATCAAAGACTGGCTCTTGAACTGACCTTTTCCATGCCAGCTTTTTGTATCTGTACAACTCACTTAGGAACTTGGTGAAGAAACTTACAACCCAATTTTCAGTGCAACCACCCTGAACATGTTTGTTACCAAGGAAATAAATCAAGAACAGCTTTTCTGCTAGTATACTCCAGGAGCTTCTACATAGGCTCACACCACGCATAGCTATGAATGGTTCAGAAGTAACAAATATTCGCTTCCACCACTGCATTAGGTAAATGGGGATATTTCTACTCCTGCCAGTGGGCGCTCATTTTGTTTTTTTTCCCTAGGAGACTGCTGTACCCTAAGTATTCTTTATATACATCACTGAAAACTTACGGTTCCGTGTTGGTCTTCTGAAAACTATCAGTATTACAGAAGGTGGGAATGTCGTTTAGGAAGGGCTTGCACTGCTCACCCACCTGAGAGCACTCAACTGAGAGCAAAGGGAAAAGCAGTAGTACTACAGACATATTTTAATGGCTAAGTCTTGTACACCCTTTCAGTAAGGGTAACACTTTATGGCTACCTATTACTTTATTTGAAAGATGTAATCCCATTAACTTGGTACCACAAAGATGTATAACACCTTTACGGTGTCTCTGCACTGATTTGTAGCTCTTAGACGACCCGTACAAATGCTTTTCAGCATGCATCAGCTTTCCCTATTTGCTGATTAAAATGATTTCCTAAGAAATTCTCAGAAAAACACAACCCTAGAAACCTGAAGTATTTGTCATCTACATTCAAACTCCTCCTCCCTTGTAGTTCAGCATTATTTACACACCTCAGAGCCATATCTACCATCAATGCATCCTAATGAGGGTTATCCAGCCAGCTTTTCTGAGCAGAAGACTGAAGTTTAACTCAACACCTATGAAAACAAGCTTCTGTTTTCACCTTCTGCAGGGAAAACTCTTCCTCTTTTCTACGCTGCCAATATGAAACCCGATGTCTCACCATTAAAATGAAATTCAACTCTGATGTTGCACAAGAAAATCCCATGAGGTGTTTAACTGCAACATGGTATTTGCAAATTTCCTTACAAAT